GAGTGGCCGACTCTTGATTTCAGGTCAGGTCGTGGTCTCGGGGTCCTGGGATGGAGCCCCATGTTGAGCTTCGTGCTCAGCGGGGAGTCTGCTTGAGCATTCTCTCTCTCCCTTTCCCTCTGCCCCTCCCCCTTCTCTAAAATAAATGGATAGAGCTTTAAAAAAAAAAAACAAAACCAACAATCCTCCAGCCCAGGTCAGTGGTGTGCCTGGCCTGAGGGGTCTTGTGTTGCCATGCCTACATCAGGACAGGCTGCCAGCCCTTCTCTGCAGGTACTGGCCCCATGGCCTGAAGACATCGTGTGGCCCGGACGTGTTCAGTGGCAGCTCGTACCCTGGGGTGCAGTCTTACATGATCGTCCTCATGACCACGTGCTGCATCATCCCACTTGGTGTCATCATACTCTGCTACCTCCAAGTGTGGCTGGCCATCCGAGCAGTAAGCCCCCAAACCCTCCTGGCTTCACCCTTGCCTGGCAGGATCATGAGGGCCAGGGACGTCGAGGCTGGCACAAAGGATCACCCAGTCCTCTCTCCTGCCCTCAGACCACACATGAGTCCTGCAATTCCTTTGGAACTGCCACTACAGCCCTGGCTCCCTTGTCCTTGCCCCTACAAGATGGGAAGGGACTGTCCCCCGCCCTTCATGTGGGGCCCAATAAGGGAGCAGAGCTGCATTTCTTCCCTGACCCAGGACAGTTCTCCCCTGGGTGGAAAGACAGCCAGACCCGCAAGTGAAACCTGCGCATCAAAAGGTGGTTTTGAGAGACTGCCACCAGAGTGACCCTGTCCCCTTCACGGGGCTGTTGGGGCAGGCCAAGGAGTGGATTTGCATGTGCCATCTGTCCCCAAGACCCGCTCTCCACTCTCCTCACTGGGAAGTTGATCCTGTCTGCAGCCACCCCCTACCCCCTACGTAGGCAATCAGAGTGAGGCAGAAGAGGAAGAACACCGTACATAAGTTGTCCCCTTGTCAGCCAACTCACCTACAATTAGTTTGATCAGGATGCGCCATCTGTTCCTGTTGAGATCCTGCTTGGCACAGTTGGTAGAAGGCCCTTTGGGGTGGTGCCTTTCTGATATGAACTTGCTTGTGCCCACAATCAGATCAACAAGTGCTCATAAGCTCTTTCTAGAGTGAAGGCCACAAACTCCCTGCCTGCAGCCTGTGATGTGCCCCCTGCCCCGCTTCCTCCCCCAACCCCATTGACGGTCAAGGATCGGAAGCAACCTAGCTGGCTCCCGCAGGTATCCAACCATTGCTTGAGCCATGTTAGCTCTGGGCTAACAGCAAGCAGTGTCCAGCCTCTGGGTCTCCTCCTGCTCAGCCCCTCAGACCTGAGCACTGGAGGGGACACACTGATAAGGGACCAGGTGGTGCTAAGGATGGCCTCCTTAGCTCCTTCCCAAACTCCTTATATGTGGCTTAGCCAAGCTAAGCCAAGAGCTTGGAAGGCCCTGGCTCAAGGCCGTCTTCTCTAGGGCCAGCTGTGCGCCACCTCAAAACCTACACAAGCTCCCTCAGGGCCAGCCCAGTGCAGCCTAAGCCAGGCTGCCGACTCACGCGGGTGGGAGCTGGCTGCTGACTGGCCCGGGTGGGCCCATCTCCTCTCGCCATGACTCCCCATCCCCGGGCCACCTGTCTCTTGCCTTCTCCCTGACTCACTGCCCAAGCGATAGCAACAGAGTCCCCTGGGATAAAGAGCCCAGAGGGACCCGCCCACTCACTGTCCCCGGGCATGAATCTCTGTCTCCCCCAGGTGGCAAAGCAGCAGAAAGACTCTGAGTCCACCCAGAAGGCAGAGAAGGAGGTGACACGCATGGTGGCAGTCATGGTCTTCGCGTTCTGCGTCTGCTGGGGCCCCTACACCTTCTTTGCATGCTTCGCCGCTGCCCACCCTGGCTACGCCTTCCACCCTCTGGTGGCCGCTCTGCCAGCCTACTTTGCCAAAAGTGCCACTATCTACAACCCCATTATCTATGTCTTTATGAACCGGCAGGTAAGTCACATCGTTGGCAGGACAAACTAGAAAAAGACTGCAGAAGAGCCCAGTGATGGCTCCCACCTGAAATCATGTCCGGGGGAACCTGTTAATGACCTCCAGGACAACGACCAGGGAAGGCTCAGCACATGAAAGCTCAGCGAGCCCTCCCTCTGGATCCTTTCAGAGCCTTGACCTGAGGGTGGGCAGCTCCACAGTGCATCCTGTATGTTGCTACTCTTCCGTTCTGTTGGCCTCAGGGCTACCCTGGAGCTCGAACACCCAGGGGATGCCTGAACATGTCTACATTTACCCTACCTGTGCCCATTTTGCTTTTATAGGCACAACTCTCCTCTTAATTTTCATCTATCCATCTTTAAACCCTTTAAGAGGCCCTTCTTGGCTACACTGATATGTGGCTTTTGTGACTTTATGGGTTAGTTCAGGGGAACATGCTGTGGTCTTGCCCAAGGCCTTGCCACATGGTAGCCGTCATGGGCTGGCATATCGAACCTCAGCAGCAAATCGCCCAGGACTCCTAGACCTCTCGGAAGGTTACAGGTGACCACTGAGGTTCATCATCTTCCAAGCATAATTTGCCTTATTCTTCCTTGAATCCATCAAATCTACTTCATTAAGGCACAGCTGTGGATGTGTGAATTAATGGTGACCAGAAAGGTCCATGGGCCAGAAATACCACCTTCGCAGGGGCCTTGCATTGCACCAGACCCAGTCCCCATTCCTTCCAACTAGCTCTTCTCTGCTCCTCCATTTAACAGTTGCCCCATGGCTCACTCCCTCTCGCCTTGCCCTGACTCTCTGTAGAGTTCATTAAGCACACACTCTTTGGGTAATGTTCAGGTATTTAGTAGGACCAGTACTGCAGTTGATTCCCCAGGACTCCATTGTTGGCACCTCAATACCTTGATCGTAGTTCTATCCCTGGCTCCTATTTCCTGGCTTTCACATGGGTCTCTTGTTAGATCTGGTTCTTGTTTATGGAACCCTAAGCTATCTTGCCTTGTACTGTGTTTACTTGAGTCTTTCCATCCTCCCCTTCCAGAACTCCTTCTCCCAGATAAGACATCTGTACTTCTGGACCCCTCCAGGCTTTCAAACTTTGCTTTCACCCTTTCCACATTGTCATCCCTTCCTGCTGCATTCTGAGAGAATTTTCTGTAATGGAGCTCCATGAGGACAGAGAATGTTACTCTTTTTCTCCACTGCTGATCCCTCTGGGACACAGTCTGGCACAGAGTGGGTGCTCAGTAGATAGATGTCAAATGAATTCCTCAGTTAAGTCAATTCTGCTATTTGGCCCATTTCTTGTGTTATTGATTTCAATAATTATGTGTTTTATTTGTGAGAGTTTTGATGTTGGAGGGAGCTGGAGGTAGTCAAGAATATACAAGAGATGCCTCTGGTCTGCATTCTTAAGACATTGTGGTTAGCTCAGTGATGATATGAGACATAATTTGAGAAATGAATACATTCTAGATCTCTTTAGGGCTAAGCAGCAAAGACTGGAGCCCTCTTGGTGCTGGAAGATTCTCTTGGTTAAAGACATGAGGTAGTGGCTAGACTGTTATCTACCTAGTCCTTGTGGAATAGAAACAAGATGACGATCACATTCTTTTTCACTAAAATGCCTCTGAGTCTCTTCCCAGACATTCTGGGGATGGGTCACCCTATGCATGGGCCCCTTAGCTGGCATCATCTTTGGTTACTGTACAAGTTTCCCGAGACTACCATAACAAAGTACCACAAACTGGGGGGCTTAAACCAACAGAAATCTATTCTCACCCAGTTTTGGAGGACAGAAGTCCAAGATCAAGGTGTGGGCAATGTTGGTTTCTTCTGAGGGCTCTGAGGGTGAATCTATTCCCTGCCTCTCTCCTGGCTTCTGGTGGTAGCCAGTAATCCTTGGTATTCTTTGGCTTGTAGACAAGTCACCCTGATATCTGCCTTCACCTCCATGTGACCTTCTCTTTGAGTCTGTGTCCAAATTCCCTTCTTATAATGATGCCAGTCACTGGATTGGGGCCCACTCTATTCTAGCATGACCTCATGGTAATGTACATCTTAATCACATCCACAAAGACTCTATTTCCAAATAAGATCACATTCACAGGCTCTAGGGGTTAGGACTCAAACATAGCTTTGGTTGCGGGGGGGGCAGTGTCACAATTTGACCCACAATAGTCACCATCAGATTCTAAATTAGATTACTTAGATGAATGAATAGTCAGGAATAGACTGTCCCCACGTGCAAGTAATAACCTCAGGCTTCCCCTATTCTCCGTATAGGATTCTGAATAGTAGCAGAGAAGGGGTTAAGTCATTCATTAAGTCATTAATGAATACCTTCCTCAGAATTCCCCAAGAATGACCTTTAGCAGAGTACATTCGTCCTTTCTGCTCTGTTGAGTAACACTTTCTGTCCTGCCAGTTTCGAAACTGCATCTTACAGCTTTTTGGGAAGAAGGTGGACGATAGCTCTGAACTCTCCAGCGCCTCCAAAACAGAGGCCTCATCTGTGTCTTCAGTGTCACCTGCATGAGTCTCTCCCAGCCATGACAACAAAAAGGTCTGCTTCCCACCAGAAAACATAACCCCTGTCCCCACACCAGCACTTTGGCCACCCCCCCCCCACTGCCTCTTCTTCTCCATCCCTGTGAAAGAAATGTAGTTTCTCTTTGCCAAAAACAACAAAGTCATAGAAGCTACCACTGCAGCCTGGGGACCCCTGAGCCTCTGAGGGTCTGGTCACTGGGTCACAAGAGGGCATGAGGGGGACAGAACTGCAGAGCCCAAGTTCCCAGATCAGCTTCAGACACTTTAATATTTTCCAAGCTTTGTGTCTGCAGATGGTATGGAAGGATCACCTGGAAGAGAAGTGCAAGGTGGGCTGGTGGTGATGGAATCAGAAAGGGAGAGCTGAGAAGTCACTATCTAGGTAGGGCTGGCTGGATGCCCTTGACACCCAGGAAGCAGCATGAGCTAGCAAACCCAGGCCCTTTAAGTCCCGTCTGATAGAGGCTTGGAGTCCTTGGAATACAGTCTCCATCTGGACGGGACCCAGGCCTGCCAGTCTGTGGCAGGGATGGCATGCCACTTTTGCCAGGCCAGGGCCCCAAGGCCAATCAGCATGAGTGTGGTGCATGCGCGCAGGCGGGAATTCACCAGCAGCAAGGGGCAGGCGCACACGGTGGAGATGAAGACCAAGAAGATGGTGGCCAGTGTGAGGAGCAGGCTCACGAATCGGAACATAAACTTCTGTGGACGGATCCTGAAGTTCTCCATCCTCTCCAGTTGTGTCACTTGCTGTAGAGTTTCAAGCTTAGATATACGGTTCTTGAAAGTCTCCATGACCTCCTGCACATGACAAGAACACACACCCTCATGAAGTGCAGTCACTTACCTGAGTTCCTATGAGGTACCCAGCAAATGTTGGTGAGCTGAAGATTTAGGAGGGAAGGCAAGAAACTAGAGCACTTACATGCTAAGGGCCCTGTCCTGTCTCAGTAACATCCAGTGTGGCCTAAGACTGAGAACCTGGCTATGCGAGAGCTCACCAAGGACAGGAGTAGGGTCTAAGGGTGTGGAAGAGAGTGAGACTAACCATTACAGGTAAGGGAAACCCTTCAGCTGTGCTTGCTAACCGAGGGTCAAAAGCAGGGCCTCACAGAGGGAGCTCCCCGCACCATCAGAAGCTGCTGATGACTCATCACCACCCCCTCAGGTGGCTCTGAAGCACCCCCAAGTATGAGAACCGCAGAGCCCAAATTCCCAGGTCAGCTCAACTGGATCAGGGCAGGGGGTGGGGCGGGAGTGCTGCATGAACAGAGAAATAGATGCCACTCGCTCTAAAGCAAATGTGTGAGTTGCAACTGAACCCTCTTTCCTTAGTTTGCAGGGGTATCAGAATGCACCTGCTCATCCTTTGCTTCTCTCATCCCTATATCCTTCTCACTGGTCATTTCTTTAAAAGCTACCGCCCGCCCCCCCCAACATGAGGTTCTCACCCATATCTCCTTGGCTCTCTCATAGGACAGATAGGCCATTTTCTCCTCCGTGCATGCCAGAGTCAGTTTGAGGTGGTAAATCTCATCCAGGTGCCCCTGCAGGTGCTCATTCACCTGTTCTTCCATCAGCGCTTGTCTTGGAAGCAAAAGAGAAAGTAATCCTCCCCTGAGTCCCCTGCCCAGAGGTTGTGCTGGTGGTGAGCAGCCCTATGTCAAGACTATAGTTGGGTTCAGATTGCTCCTTCCTCCCGTCTCCTCCTCCAGGTCGGCCTCAGATGCACAGCAGCCACACCCACACTGATACACAGGTGTACTTCATAGACAGTTACTCTTTCACGACAGCTTTATAAAACTAGCCATAGACTAAAAGTTGTAGAAAGAAAACTCTGAATTGTCCATGCCTGCTATTAAATTCCATATAAATTCCCAGCACCAGTGTTTGGCAAGCAGTAGTTATTCCATAAAAGTCCACTGATTATAGGGATGGAGCAGTCACAAAAGACCACATACTGTATGATTCCATTTATATGAAATGTCCAGGGGCGCCTGGGTGGCTCAGTCAGTTAAGCATCTGCCTTTGGCTCAGGTCATGATCCCGGCGTCCTGAGATGGAACCCTGAGTCGGGCTCCCTGCTCGATGGGGCGTCTGCTTCTCCCTCTCCCTCTGCCCCTGTCCCTGCTCGTGCTCTCTCTCTCTCTCATAAATAAATAAATAAATAAATAAATAAATAAATAAATAAATAAATAAATATTAAAAAAAGAGAAATGTCCAGAATAGGCAAATCCATAGAGGCAGAAACAGATGAGTGGTTCCTGGCGCCTGGGTGTGGGGAGTGGGTGGGGAGTGACTGCTCATGAGACAGTGTTTCTTTTTGGAGTGATGACAATGTTCTGGAATGAGACAGTGGTGATGGTTGTACAACTATGTGAATATACTAAAAACCACTGATTGTAAATGGGTGAATTTTATGGGATGGGAATTCTATCTCAATAAAGTTGTTATTAAAACAAAAACAGGGATCCCTGGGTAGCTCATTCGGTTAAGCATCTGCCTTCCACTCAGGTCATGATCCTAGAATCCTGGGAGTGAGTCCCACATTGGGCTCCCCTCATCGGGCTTCCCGCTCAGCGGGGAGCCTGCTTCTCCCTCTGCCTGCCGCTCCCCCTGCCTGTGCTCTCTCTCTCTCTCTGACAAATAAATAAAATCTTAAAAACAAAACAAAACAAAAACAAAAAATGAATTGTGGCAATGGTTGTATACTTAGTAAATTTACTAATGATCATTGAAACACAGAGTTAAAATGGTGCATTTTATGGCATGTAACTTATATCTCAGTAAACCTCTTAAAAACACAAACAAAACGTCACTAACCAGTATGTATTTAACCAGCTATGTGTATAAATTGTAAAGCATAAAAACATGCATGGAAAAGATAAGGGCCCAATGAGGTTAGTGAGGTAGGTGGAAGGAGGGTGGGGTTGGGAAGGGATGATGTGAGAGCTTCAAGTGAACCTTCTAAAGTTTTACTTCTTAATAAAATAATATGTGAAACAAATATGGTAAATGTGAAGATTTGAAAAACCTGTGGGTGGGTACACGGTCTTGATCATGTTATCCTCTACATTTCCCCCTGGGTTTGGAATATTTCATAATTTAAAAAAACTTTGAGGTTCTTCATTTGAGCACCAGGAAGGACAGGCCGGAGGCCAGAGGCCATGTGGCTTTTAGCGTCGTCATTTAGAGAAGAGCCAAGGAAGGCTTGTCCCATGGGTGCGGGGTGGGTGGTGACGCTGCAGAAGTGGAAAGGTACCGGAGAGCCCTGGAGACACAGAATGGCTGAAGCCTGGTACCCTGTGGAAAACAGGGTAATGGAGGGTGCGGCCGATCAGATCACGGGGTTCTGGCATGCAGAGAACATAACCGGTTATGTCACACAGACAGGGAATATGAGGCAAGGAGGTCAGTTGGGTCCTGCTTCAGGGACTTGACTGACACCCACATAGAGTTGTCCCCCAGGCAGTTAATGGGCTTAAACAATCATTTGTTGAAAACCAATTTGTCAAGAGCTGGTTCATGACAGTGTTTCAAAGAATAGTCCATTAGTCCCTGCCCTACTCCTCGTAGAGAAGAGAGTGGACTAACAATGCCCACAGAGAGGGGGAGGCAGCACGGTGTCCACTTGAAAGGACATTCCCCATGCCTGTCTTTCCATTTACATGAAGGATTCAGACAGAACGTTCAAGATATTGGCTATGCTCAAGTACATATTCATGAATATACTCTTCACGGTTATGAAGTCAATGAATAGATTCTTCATTAATATATTTATAAGAATTTACAAATGTATTCTTAAATGCATTCTGGAATAGATTATCAAATAAGAAAATGTTAAGTCATAAGGATATTCTCGGAGTCTCCCCTCGTCTCTGGCCCTGCAGTACAGCTGACTCTCCTCCCTGTCCCTCCCTGAGTCAAGGACCCCTCTCTGTCCCACTCCTACAGCTGCAGAGGCAAGTGGACCACTCTAGAAAATGCCCTTACAGGGGCACCTGGGTGGCACAGTCGGTTGAGCGTTCAGCTCTTGGTTTCAGCTCAGGTCCTGATCTCAGAGTTGTGAGATTAAGCCCCACAAAGCCCCACAAAGCCCCCAAAAGCCCCACAGGCTCTGTGCTTAGGGCAGAGTCTGCTAAAGTTTCTCTCTCCCTTTTCCTCTGCCCCTCTCCCTCTGCCCCTCCCCTCCACATTCTCACTCTCTCTCTAAAATAAATAAATAAATCTTTTTTTAAAAGAGAGAGAAAACACTCTTACAAAGACAAAATGATGACCAGCCAACCAAAATGCCCCCGAAATCTTCCAAAGCTGTGAAAGCTGCCCTTGCCAATATAAATTGTCCTAAACTTTGTTGTTGTTGAAGAAGAGTATATTCTTGATCATACCTGAAGATTGGTTTTCAGCAAACTGAGCTAGAAACTAGTGGCTTGCAACTTGAAAGGTCTGAGATGGAGAAACAGATGTAGGAGGGATCAAGCTCTATGGGTAGGGTGGGGTAATGCGGCAGGGACAGAGTTGATCCTCCAGAGCAAATGTGAAATCACACACATCCTTATAGGAGGGAAGCAGAGGGAGCTTTTACACACAGAGGAGAGGCCCATATGAAGACAGAGCAGAGAGAGATGTGAAGATACTGCCCTTGAAGATTGGAGTGATGTGGCCACAAGCTAAGGAGCCCGGCAACCACCAGAAGCTGGTGTGCAAGAATGTTCATAGTAGGGCGCCTGGGTGGCTCAGTAGTTAAGCGTCTGCCTTCGGCTCAGGTCATGATTCCAGGGTCCTGGGATCGAGCCCCGCATCGGGTTCCCTGCTCCACGGGAGGCCTGCTTCTCCCTCTCCCACTCCCCCTGCTTGTGTTCCCCCTCTCGCTGTCTCTCTGTCAGATAAATAAATAAAATTAAAAAAAAAAAGAATGTTCATAACAGGCACCCCAAGAGTCCCAACATTTTAGATTTAGTTGTCATGTCCTACAAAAATCACATCCAAGGGGCGCCTGGGTGGCTCAGTCGTTAAGCAGCTGCCATCGGCTCAGGTCATGATCCCAGGGTCCTGGGATGGAGCCCCGCATCAGGCTCCCTGCTCGGCGGAAAGCCTGCTTCTCCCTCTCCCACTGCCCCTGCTTGTGTTCCCTCTCTTGCTGTGTCTCTCTCTGTCAAATAAATTAATAAAATCTTTTTTAAAAAATCACATCTAAAAGAGACCTATAATTCTGATTCATTATCTTATTTGATAGTGGGTTGCCCCGTAATATTTGTTTAAAGATTTATTTATTATTTGAGAGAGAGAGAGAGAGAGAGAGACAGCATGAGCAGGATGGGCAGGAGAGGGAGAGAAACTTGACGCAGGGCTCCATCCCACGACCCTGAGATCATGACCTGAGCCGAAACAGAGAGTCGGATGCTTAACCGATGGCGCCACCCACCCAAGCGCACCCCCCCCGTAATATTTTTAATTGTCCTTTATGGATTTTTCAAGCAGTGTAAATGTAGGTAACATTTCCCTGTGAAAATAGAAGAGGATTGATTCCCAAGTGCCTTCCCACCCCCTCCCACCATACACAGAGTTACTAAGGGACCACAAAGTCCTTACTTTACTGAGAATCTTGGTTCCTAAGTGAATCTCTCCTTCCACGGCCAGGCTGTTGGGAAGATTAGAACTAATGCAGTACCTGATGCAACAGACTGTGGGCATTGGGGGAGGGGGGGGACTATGGCACCACTGAAGGCCAGCAGGACCCTACAAAAGGTCGAAACAGGAATGGTGAGGGTCCTTTGACAGACTGAGTATGCCTTTTTCCCCCTATTTGTGGGCCCTAGTCTTGTCTTAGATGAAAATACAATTGACCCACCATACAGTGGGGAGAAAGCATTCCCCAGAAGACAAACATTTTCAGAATAAAAATCGCATACAGGACCTTTGGCCCCAACTCAACTATGAGCACAGGTGAAGGGACAATGGCCAGTGAGATATCCTGCTTCCCACACTATGCTATTCTAGCAGATGCAGGACCCCTCCCTGACTGATGAGGGGCATCTGCTGGGCTCACCACCACCGCAATTGCCTCTCACCACCCCAGTCAGAGCCCATGGCTTCTGGGACCACCTGGCAGGGCCCTGAGCTGGGGCCTCATTTGCCAGCAGAGGATCCAGGCAGGTGTGCAACAGCAAGCAGGGGATAAGCCCTCTCCACTGTGGGGCCCAGTTGCCCAGAGAAACACTGACCAGCTTCTCCCCCCTCTCCCTCCCCCTGACCCTCCAAGTCCATGTCCTCGCTCCCCTTCACTTTCCTGAAGACAGTCCTGGGGGCTGCTGTCCCCAGAGCCAAGGCCGCAGAAGGGGCTCCAGCTCACCTGCATTTCTCTTCCCGAAGGGACTCCAGTAACACCTGCAGGTCCGTCAGATGCTTCTCCTTTAGGCTTTCATAGGACACCTGGAGGCTAAGGTGGAGTTCCCTGACTTCTTTCAGGTCTTCCTTCATCTTCTGCAACAGCAGGTTTCGCTGCTGGGCCACGCACTTTGTCTCTGAGGGCTTCCCTTGCTGTGAGGCCGCGAAGTGACTCTCCAGGGGCAAGTGTCTTCCAATGTCAGGCAGGCTGGTGGACAGGCTGTCTTCCCCACCTGGGTTGGGAGGCTCTGCGGACGGCGCCTTCTGGCTGGGCTGCTTGCACTCGTCCAGGCTGCTTTCTGCCTTCGGCACTAAGCCCTTGGGCCTGCGGCCTTCCTCCAGCTCCTGCAGCTGCTGGTGACAATGACGGAGCCTTCGCTCAATCTGGTCAATGGTGGCAGAGGCACGCTGGTTCACCTTCTCGAAGGCCTGCCGGATGTGGGGGGCCTGGTGCCGGTCGGCTTTGGACACCAGCTTGAGGTAGCCCACAGTATTCTCATCCCGACTGGCCTTCTCCACTCTCAGCTGCTCGGAGAGGTAGAGGATGCGGTGCTTGACGCTATCCTGTAAGTTCCGGGCCAACTCCCCATCTGAGAGACTGGAATGGCCACTGGGGCCATCCTCAGTGGGTGACAGGGACCTGCATGAGGGAACATTGGAGGGAACGGTTGTGCTTGGGCTCTTGGTGTATTCTGCCTACAGTGGGAAACAAGAAATCATTAACAGGTACTTCGGTGAGCTGCAAATAGTAGAACTGGACTTGGTATTGCCTCACTCTAAAAATACTTAGGCGTAAGCACAGATTCTTACATATGCAAGATCTGTGCATTCAAGATGGGCCCAGCACAGGCCGGGGAGGTTAAGTTCAACTTCCAGGCCCCTCTCCCCTTCTTTTCAGCACCTGACTTTTTTTTTTTTAGATGTCACAACCCTCAGATCAAGAGTCGCACGCTCCTCCGACTGAACCAGCCAGGCATCCCCAGCACGACTTTTTGCTCTATGACTGTACCTCACTAGAACCCCCAGATGGCTAGAATCCTCCCTCCACACCTGTTCTGTCTGTTCTTGGACTTCCTTTCTTCCAAGAAATACTAACTGTATTGGTATAAATCTCATTTCTTTTTTTTTTTTTTTAAGATTTTATTTATTTATTTGACAGAGAGAGAGAGACAACGAGAGAGGGAATACAAGCCGGGGGAGTGGGAGAGGGAGAAGCAGGCTTCCCATTGAGCAGGGAGCTTTATGAGGGGCTCAATCCCAGGACCCTGGGATCACGACCTGAGCCGAAGGCAGACGCTTAACAACTGAGCCAACCAGGCGCCCCTAAATCTCATTTCATAAACAACTACTCTTGTAAAGTATGGAATAAGCGCATTCCCATCAACCCATACGGTTTCTTATATTGCTACTCCCAGGGAGATAGAAGAAGTAGGCAAGGAGATTTGCATCCTGAAAGGTTCATTCCTTCATTCAGTCATTCATTCAACACACATTTCCTCAACGCTTACCATGTGGTACAGAAGCCAGACACATTCCTTGTTCATATAGAGCTGATGGTCAAGGGTGAAAATGTCTATTGTAATGCAAATGAATGAGTCTCTCGCATGGGCAAGTTAATAAACCACTTGGAGGGTCAATTTTCTCATCTCTAAAATAAAGATGCCCATAGGAGCATAGCTGGAACACAGTGGACCAGAGCAGAATGGATGGTGATGAGCTAGGAGAGGTAGGTGAAGTCAGAATAGGTGGAGGAGTGCCTGGCTGGCTCCGTCGGTGGAGCATGCAACTCTTGATCTTGGGTTTGGGAGTTCGAGCCGCATGTTGGGGGTAAAGATTACTTAAAAATAAAATCTTTTATTTTTTCCCCCAATGAATGTAAACATTTATTGAAAAATAACTATTTTTAAAAGATTTTTATTTATTTATTTGAGAGAGATAGAGAGCGAGCCAGTGAGAGGAGGGGCAGAGGGAGAAGAGGGAGAAGCTCCCCTGTTCCCCCCTGGACAGGGAGCCCGACTTGGGCCTCAATCCCAGGACCCTGAGATCATGACCTGAGCTGAAGGCAGACGCCCGACTGAGCCACCCACGCGCCCCTGAAAAATAACTGTTTTTAAAAACAAAAAAATCAGGGGTGCCTGGGTGGCTCAGTCAGTTGGGCGTCTGTCTTCGGCTCAGGTCATGGTGTCAGGGTCCTGGGATCGAGCCCCGCGTCGGGCTCCCTGCTTGGTGGAAAGCCTGCTTCTCCCTCTCCCACTCTCCCTGCTTGTGTTCCCCTCTCTCTTTGTGTCTCTCTCTGTCAAATAAATAAATTAAATCTTTAAAAACAATCAGTAGGAAGTGGTATTGTTTTATATTAAAAAATAAAATCTTTTTTAAAAAAGAAAGAACAGGGGCGCCTGGGTGGCTCAGTTGGTTAAGCGACTGCGTTTGGCTCAGGTCATGATCCTGGAGTCCCTGGATCGAGTCCCGCATCAGGCTCCCTGCTCGGCGGGGAGTCTGCTTCTCCCTCTGACCCTCCCCCCTTCTCATGTGCTTGCTCTCTCTCATTCTCTCTCTCTCAAATAAATAAATAAAATCTTTAAAAAAAAAAAGAAAGAACAGGTGGAGCCTCCGTTCTGTTTCTACTTTTTAACTGTAAGAGCCTTCACAGCCATTTTCAGTCTGCAAAGGATTTCCTGGTGGTAAATCAGGAGTGATTATATTGTAATACATAGATTAGTTCTGTGTATTTTATTGTATGCAAATCATACCTTGATTAAAAAAATGTCATACCATTATACACCTAGCAGATTGGCAAAATTTAGACTAATAATAATAAATGTTGGCAAGGATATGGAGCAACAGGAACTCTAAATCACTCCAGGTGGGAGACCAAATTGGTACAAGCACTTTGGAAAAGCACTGGTAAATTGTAAAGTTGAAGACATGCATAACAAATGGCCCAGCAATTGCATTAATAGGTATAGCCTTGGGAAACAGGTACACTAATGTTCCCAATAACCAACTACTAGAAATAACCCATCTGCCCATTAATAGTAAAATGTTCAAGTGAACTGTAAAATACTCAACAATATACTACTATACAGCAATGAAAATGAACTACAGCCTTGAAAACATGAATGAATAAGCATAATGTTGAACAAAAGAAGCTAAACACAGAAAAATCTATACTCTACATGGTTTCGTTCATATAAAGTTCAAAAGCAGACAAAACAAAATGATGTTGTTTAGGGACAATAGACAATAAAGCTATAAAGAAAAGTGTGGGGCGCCTGGGTGGCTCGGTTGGGCGACTGCCTTCGGCTCAGGTCATGATCCTGGAGTCCCTGGATCGAGTCCCACATTGGGCTCCCTGCTCGGCAGGGAGCCTGCTTCTGCCTCTGACCCTCCCCCCTCTCATGTGCTCTCTCTCTCTCATTCTCTCTGTCTCAAATAAATAAAATCTTTAAAAAAAAAAGAAAAGAAAAGAAAAGTGTGGGCACTGGTAGCATAAACATCAGAATAGTGACTCCCACTAAATTGGGAGAAGGGGAATTGATCGGGAGACATACGTGGAGGCCAAGGTGCTTGGCCCGAATAGTAGTTACAAGTAAGTTCATCTTATCATTATTTCCTAAAATGTATGTTGATGTTTTCTGTGCCTTTATATACAACTGCCAAGTTTCACATTTTTAAAAGTTTTTAAATGGTTAGGGCACCTGGGTGGCTCAGTCAGTTAAGCATCTGCCTTCTGCTCAGGTCATGGTCCCAGGGTCCTGGGATCGAGCCCCGCATCAGGCTCCCTGCTCAGTGGGGAGCCTGCTTTTCCCTCCCCTGCTCTCCCTGCTTATACTCTCTCTCTGTCCAATAAAGAAAGAAAATAAATAAATAAATAAAATAAAAGTTTTTAAATGGTCAATAGGTGGATTTATAACACATTAGAAATAGCTGGAGAGAGAATTAATAAATTGTAAAACAGAGCTAAAAAAGCATCCAGGGACACCTGGGTGGCTCAGTTGGTTAAGCATCTAATTCTTGATTTTGACTCCGGTCATGATCTCAGGGTTGTGAGATCAAGCCCTGCATCAGGCTCTGTGCTCAGCATGGAGTCTGCTTGAGATCCTCTGTCTCCCTCTCCCTCTGCCCCTCTCCCTGCATGCTCTCTCTCTCAAATGAATAAAGAAAATCCAAAAACAAGAAAGCATCCAGACTGTAATACAGAGGTACAAACAAATAGAAAATTTGAAAAAAATATTGAAAAACAGAAGGCATGGAAGATAGAATGAGAAAGTCTAACAAAATGAGGGAATGGCAAAATTTTAAGAGAGAATCACAAAGAACTTTCCAGGACTGACAAAAGACAGCTTCACAAATTCAAGAAGCCAAATAAATCCCAAACAGGAAAACAGAAATAGACCCACACCTAGACATGAGATTTTTAAAACAGCCAGATTTAAAAAGCTAATTACCTTTAAAACCATGACCTTCAGACTGAAAGCTGACTTCTTAGGGGCATCAATGAAATCCAGAAGAGAGTTGAGTAATATCTTCAATATGCTGAGAGAAAAGCTGTCAGAGAGAAAAAAAAATAGGTCATATTCAAATAATCGGAAGACAATGTCTTCAGACTTTTCAGCAAAGCACTGGGGAACAAGAAAACAATGAAGTAATGCCTCCTAATTTGGGGGGGGGGATGATTTTCCAACCTAGAATTCTACACCAAAACTGCCTATTGTGAGATTAGACTAAAGACATGAAAGAGCTGAAATCCTTTACCTCGCCTTCATTCTTTCTCTGGAAGCTACTAGAGAAGGAGCACCACTAAAACCAGAGAGGAACCTAAGAACGTCTATAAAACAGGTCAAAAGGAAGCAAACAGAATCTCCAGGATGATGGAATGATGGAAGTGGTGCCCAGGCTGGCAGCTAGAGGGCAAGTCAAAAGTTTCCAGGAGAGGGGCGCCTGGGTGGCTCAGTCGGTTAAGCGTCTGACTCTTGGTTTCAGCTCAGGTCATGATCTCAGGGTCCTGGGATCAAGCCCCGTGTCTGGCTCGGTGCTCAGCATGGAATCTGCTGTCCTCTTATCCCTCTGCTGTGCCCCCCCACCTCTCTCTCATAAATAAATAAAATCTTTTTTTTTAAATATTTCATTTATTTATTTGACAGAGAGAGAGAGACAGTGAGAGAGGGAACACAAGCAGGGGGAGTGGGAGAGGGAGAAGCAGGCTTCCCGCAGAGCAGGGAGCCCGATGCGGGGCTCGATCCCAGGATCCTGGGATCATGACCTGAGCCGAAGGCAGACGCTTAACAACTGAGCCACTCAGGCGCCCCTAAAATCTTTTTTTAAAAAGGCTCCAGGAGAGAGCACTCCAAGGAAATGAAGTGCATGGAATGCTGGGCATCTTTGGCCAGCTGGAGAGGAGATATAGATGAGATAGGGGAAGTGCTGGCCAATGAAAAGTAGTAGAGACCAAGCAATGTGGGGGGGGGGGTGGGCAAGCGTTAAGTCTAAGGTAAACAAAACACTGGGAGAGAAAAGAAAAGTCGTCAGAGTGATGGCTCAATTATAACCAGTGTTTCCATAGACTTGATAATGTGAACACCAATGATCTAACCCAGATTACTACATACCATATTAGAAGAATTTGGAGGGGTTGTGTGAGAGATAGCTACATTATCATCTTCTATAGTGAAAAAAACCAATCAATAATTCCTAAAATATAAAAATAAAAAATAGCACTATAAACAATTTATTTAGGGGCGCCTGGGTGGCTCAGTCGGTTAAGCGTCTGCCTTCAGCTCAGGTCATGATCCTCCTGGGATCAAGTCCCGCATCGGGCTCTTTGCTCAGCTAGGAGCCTGCTTTTCCCTCTCCCTCTGCCTGCCGTTCCCCCTAGTGGTGCGCGCTCGCTCTCTCTCTCTCTCTCTCTCTCTCTGTCAAATAAATAAGTAAAATCTTTTTAAAAAAGCAAGTAGGGGACACCTGGCTGGCTCAATCCATACAGCATGCAACTCTTGATCTCAGGGTTGTAAGTTCGATCCACACACTGGGCGTAGAAATGGCTTAAAAATAAAATCTTTAAAAAAATAAAATATAAAGGAAGTAGGAAATAGAGAAGATAAAAATTTGTTAAAGACTGGCTCTACTGTGGAATTTAGATCTAGGTATCATTAAAAACTCAAAATTGGGCGCCTGGGTGGCTCAGTCGGTTAAGCAACTGCCTTCGGCTCAGGTCATGATCTCAGGGTCCTGGGATCGAGCCCCGCATCGGGCTCCCTGCTCGGCGGGAAGCCTGCTTCTCCCTCTCCCTCTCCCCCTGCTTGTGTTCCCTCTCTTGCTGTCTCTCTCTCTCTAATAAATAAATAAAATCTTTAAAAAATAAAAAATAAATAAATAAACAAAAACTCAAAATTGAGAGAATATGTTGGTGGAAAATTAAAGGTAACCACTAGAAAAAAAGCCAGGTACATAATATCCAAATAACCAAGAAGAGAAAAACAACTGAACTCTATTATTCAAAAAAAAAAAAAGTAAGGAAAGGAGGCACAGAAAGAAACAAGATATTAGGGTAAATAGAAAATATAAAGTAGGACGCCAATAAGATGTGATTATCAGGGGCACCTGGGTGGCTCAGTCGTTAAGTGTCTGCCTTCGGCTCAGGTCATGACCCCAGGGTCCTGGGATGGAGCCCCGCATCGGGCTCCCTGCTCGGCGGGAAGCCTGCTTCTCCCTCTCCCACTCCCCCAGCTTGTGTTCCCTCTCTCACTGTGTGTCTTTCTCTCTGTCAAATAAATAAATAAAATCTTAAAAAAAAAAAGATGCGATTATCAATGATTCTATACCATGCTCTTAAAGAGAACACTTAATACCATAAATATAGGGCGCCTGGGTGGCTCAGTTGGTTAAGCGACTGCCTTCGGCTCAGGTCGTGATCCTGGAGTCCCAGGATCGAGTCCCGCATCAGACTCCCTGCTCGGCAGGGAGTCTGCTTTGCCCTCTGACCCTATCCCCCCTCATGTGTTCTCTCTCAAATAAATAAATAAAATCTTTTAAAAAAAAAGAAAACCAACGGAAGTGTCTTATGAATCTTAAATTAGCTGCTTCCATAATTAATTTGGAAGAGAAAATGCAAAAGAATAGGAAAGAAATTTTTGAAAAAGAATAATAAATATAGTGTTGGGACAATTGGCTCTTTTTTAAAAAATTAAGTTATTTAAGCACCTGTATATGATGTAAGTGCTACCTTATGTAAATAAAGAACTAAACATAAAAATGAAACCATAAAAGCGTTAAAAAGACATAATAGTGTTCTTACAATCTTTTTGTGAAGAGGACTTTTCTAAACAAGACTGAACCCAAAATTCCATAAAGAAAAAGATTTATGGGTGCCTGGGTGGCTCAGGCCTTAAGCAGCTGTCTTTGGCTCAGGTTATGATCTCAGGGTCCTGGGATCAAGTCCTGCATCAGGCTCCTTGCTCATTGGGGAGTCTGCTTCTCCCTCTCCCCCTGCTTGTTCTCTCTCTCTCTCTCTCAAGTAAATAAATAAACTGTTAAAAAAAAAAAAAAAAAGGAGGGGCGCCTGGGTGGCTCAGTTGGTTAAGCAACTGCCTTCGGCTCAGGTCATGATCCTGGAGTCCCTGGATCGAGTCCCGCATCGGGCTCCCTGCTCGGCAGGGAGTCTGCTTCTCCCTCTGATCCTCCCCCTCTCATGCTCTCTGTCTCCCATTCTCTCTCTCAGATAAATAAATAAAAAATCTTTTAAAAAAATAAAATAAAATAAATAAAATAAATTTTAAAAAAAATAGGAAAAAGATTTACGTATTTTACTACATTAAAAAAAAGTTTGGGGGCACCTGGGTGGCTCAGTCGGTTGGGCAGCTGCCTTTGGTTCAGGTCATGATCCTGGGATCCTGGGATTGAGCCCCATGTCCGGCTCCCTGCTCAGTGGAGAGCCTGCTTCTCCCTCTCCCTCTGCCTGCTACTCTGCCTACTTGTGCTCTCTCTCTCTGTCAAATAAATAAATAAAATCTTTAAAAAAATTTTTCAGGGGCTCCTGGGTGGCTCAGTCAGTTAAGTGTCTGCTTTCGGTTAGGGTCATGATCTCAGGGTCCTGGGATCAGCCCTGTGTGGGGCTCCCTGATCAGGGGGAGTTTGCCTGTCCCTCTCCCTCGCCCCTCCCTCTGCCACTCATGCTTTCCCCCCTCTCTTCTCTCAAATAAATATTTTTAAAAATTAAAAATAAATAAAAAGCAACAGGTTGAGAAAAAAGATTTGCAATTACCTCTAATAGAGAACAGGCTAATCAACATAATATGTAGAAAATTCCTACAAATTAGGGAGCTAAAACAAACAATCCAGTATAAAAACAGTAAAGGATAGTGATAGACAGTTCAGGAAGGACAAACACCTGGGATGGCAATAAACATACAAAAAATGTGCAACTACAAAGATAACAGGCAAACATAAATCAAAGCAATGACTGAATACTATTTTCTCATCCAGAGAATGCCACACATTAAAAAGACTAACAATATCCAGTGTTGATGAGGATGTGGGGAAATGAGCACTCATACTCTGCAGTAGGAGTACACATAGCTTTGTGGAGCACTTAGGCAATATCAAATGACATTTTCAATGCATGTGCCCTTTACCCAAGCAAAAACGCAGGAGCCTATTCGCACTCAGGGACATTTAAGGGCTCGGCAGTTTTGAATTAAGATGCTCCCCAGTGGGCGCCTGGGTGGCTCAGTCGGTTAAGCGACTGCCTTCAGCTCAGGTCATGATCCTGGAGTCCCTGGATCGAGTCCCGCATCGGGCTCCCTGCTCGGCGGGAAGTCTGCTTCTCCCTCTGACCCTCCTCCCTCTCCTGCTCTCTCTCTCTCTTTGTCTCTGTCTCAAATGAATAAATAAAATCTTAAAAAAAAAAAAAAAAAGATGCTCCCCAGTATTTGAACTTAGGATATAGTGTTGTGGAGATGGTGTCATTCACTGGGGGAGCCATTCTGGTTCTTGTAAGATCAGCTCAAAGTCAGAGGGACCAGCTCTCTGAGACTACACTGTGACCCTGAGGAGATGGGAAGCTCCCAGGAGTCAAACTCCCTCAGGAAAGCTACAGGCTAGCGTTGGGCTAACGCCACCTCAAGGGTCACAAGGACCTTGCGGCTTGCCATACAGAAGGTTCTAGAAAGAGAAAAAGAGGTAGTGCAAAGACACCATGCTGTCTCAGGATAGCATGCCTAATCTGCTGAGAAGCCTGACTGGGGCAGGGCTGCTTTGGAGGGTGGGGGTCAGAGGCCAACAAAGGGTAAAATTCTAGCATGGCTTTCTTTTTTAATATTGTGAAAAAATGTGTAAAACACGACTTCACCATTGTAACACTTTAAAGCGTATGAAAAAGGTCCCTTCACCACACTCACCATGAGCGGAACGACGGCCACATATAGTTTCAGATTTGTTTTATCACCCCAAAAGTAGATCCTGGACCACTCCCCCCAGAGGCAGTCCTCTTTGAATTGATAACACAGTGAAATATATAAAGAAATTAAATTATTTCGATTAATGTCCCACACGCTAAGGACAAGTGTTCAAAAACCCATTTAGCGGAGGGAACGTTGCGCGGAGGGAGCTCTGAGCGGAGGGATCTGCACAGCACCGCACGAGGGAGCCGCACCACGCCGCGCGGAGGGATCTGCGCAGCACCGCACGAGGGAGCCGCACCACGCCGCGCGGAGGGATCTGCGCAGCAACGCACGAGGGAGCCGCACCACGCCGCGCGGAGGGATCTGCGCAGCAACGCACGAGGGAGCCGCACCACGCCGCGCGGAGGGATCTGCGCAGCAACGCACGAGGGAGCCGCACCACGCCGCGCGGAGGGATCTGCGCAGCAACGCACGAGGGAGCCGCACCACGCCGCGCGGAGGGATCTGCACAGCCCCGCACGAGGGAGCTATAAAGCCCTACCTCGCACACCCTGCGGCATTCGCTCCTCAGACACCGACGGGGTGGTAGTGATGGCAGACGCCAATCCTAGCACCGCGGCGGCCGCCGAGGAAGCCAAGCCTGATGCGAAGACAGTCCAGGTGCTGCGGGACATGGCCAATCGCCTGCGCATCCATTCTATCAGGGCCACGTGTGCTTCGAGCTTCGGGTAAGGTTCCGTCGTCCAATTCCTCGTGGCCTTGAGCAGCCGGCCTGGCGGCAACAGAAGCCTGAGGTGAAGGGAACCCTCGGGGGGCTGGGCGGGCTCGGTTGTAGAGGCCCCGTTTGGGGCCGTGGGGGAGCAGATGGCGTGCCCGGGGGGGGGGGGGGGCCTTCCCGTCGCTGCTATGCAGCGGCGAAGCTGGCGGCCCTGACCCTCAGGGCCTCCCCGCACTTACCAGGGAGGAGCCCGGAATGTGCGTGGGCAAGCGGGGATAAGTCCGGGGGCTCGCGGCCAGGCTGGCGCTGGAGCGGGGTGCGTGGCCGGGACTTTACCTGGGAGCTGTTGCCCTCGATGCCAGCGTCCCGATCCCGGTTTGGGGAGTGTAACAGAAAACTGGGGGCGAGTAAGAAGTGGAGAAAAGGAGACTTTCTAGTCAGGGTTTTGTTGAGGACTTCTGATCCAGTATTTTTATTTAATGTAAGCTTTGTTGTAGGGGGCTTGTGTGGCTTTAGTGCGAGGGCAGCGCTAGCCTCACCATGATTCGGTTCACTTCAAGTTTTTGGGAAGAGTTTGAGAAGGATTGATGTTAATTTTCTAGGTATTTGGTAGGATTCACCGTCAGGTCGAGAGTTTTCCTTCGGCAGAGAGGTTTTTGACTACTGACTCGAGATCCTCATTAGTTACGGGTGTAGTTAGAATTTCTGAGGCCCCTGGCTGGCTCGGTGGGTAGAGCTTTTGATTCTTGATCTCAGGATCATGAATTTGAGCCCCACATTTTCTATTTCTTCCTCGTTCTGCCTTCTTGAATTTTGTTTCTAGAAACTTGGTCTTTTTCGTATTTCAAGGTTTTTTTGTTTTTAAAGATTTTGAGAGCGTGTGCGCAGTGCGGGGGGGGAGGGCAGACGGAGAAGCTCGAGAACAAGGCGGGGTGCTGCCGGAGAAGCACGAGGCGCGGAGGGGGGGCACGACGGTGAAGCTCGAGGCGCGGAGGGGGGGTAGGCGGAGAAGCTCGAGCGCGCGGAGGGGGGGCCGGCGGAGAAGCACGAACGCGCGGGGGGGGCCGGCGGAGAAGCACGAGCGCAAGGCGGGGTGCTGACAGAAGCACGAGGCGCGGAGGGGGGGCACGACGGTGAAGCTCGAGGCGCGGAGGGGGGCGCCGGCGGAGAAGCACGAGCGCAAGGCGGGGTGCTGGCGGAGAAGCACGAGCGCAAGGCGGGGTGCTGACGGAGAAGCACGAGGCGCGGGGGGGGTGCACGACGGAGAAGCACGAGGCGCGGAGGGGGGGCACGACGGTGAAGCTCGAGCGCGCGGAGGGGGGGCCGGCGGAGAAGCGCGAGGCGGGGTGCTGACGGAGAAGCACGAGGCGCGGAGGGGGGGCACGACGGTGAGGCTCGAGCGCGCGGAGGGGGGGCCGGCGGAGAAGCACGAGCGCGAGGCGGGGGGGCCGGCGGAGAAGCACGAGCGCGAGGCGGGGTGCTGACGGAGAAGCACGAGGCGCGGAGGGGGGGCACGACGGTGAGGCTCGAGCGCGCGGAGGGGGGGCCGGCGGAGAAGCACGAGCGTGAGGCGGGGTGCTGACGGAGAAGCACGAGCGCGAGGCGGGGTGCTGACGGAGAAGCACGAGGCGCGGAGGGGGGGCACGACGGTGAAGCTCGAGTGCGCAGGGGGGGGCCGGCGGAGAAGCTCGAGGCGCGGGGGGGGGGGGCAGGCGGAGAAGCACGAGGCGCGGAGGGGCACGACGGAGAAGCACGAGCGCGCAGCGGGGGGGGCAGGCGGAAAAGCACGAGCACGTGGGGGGAGGCAGGCGGAGAAGCACGAACGCACGGGGTGGGGGGCCGGCGGAGAAGCACGAGGCGCGGAGGGGGGGCACGACGGTGAAGCTCGAGGCGCGGAGGGGGGCGCCGGCGGAGAAGCACGAGCGCAAGGCGGGGTGCTGGCGGAGAAGCACGAGCGCAAGGCGGGGTGCTGACGGAGAAGCACGAGGCGCGGGGGGGGTGCACGACGGAGAAGCACGAGGCGCGGAGGGGGGGCACGACGGTGAAGCTCGAGCGCGCGGAGGGGGGGCCGGCGGAGAAGCGCGAGGCGGGGTGCTGACGGAGAAGCACGAGGCGCGGAGGGGGGGCACGACGGTGAGGCTCGAGCGCGCGGAGGGGGGGCCGGCGGAGAAGCACGAGCGCGAGGCGGGGGGGCCGGCGGAGAAGCACGAGCGCGAGGCGGGGTGCTGACGGAGAAGCACGAGGCGCGGAGGGGGGGCACGACGGTGAGGCTCGAGCGCGCGGAGGGGGGGCCGGCGGAGAAGCACGAGCGCGAGGCGGGGTGCTGACGGAGAAGCACGAGCGCGAGGCGGGGTGCTGACGGAGAAGCACGAGGCGCGGAGGGGGGGCACGACGGTGAAGCTCGAGTGCGCAGGGGGGGGCCGGCGGAGAAGCTCGAGGCGCGGGGGGGGGGCAGGCGGAGAAGCACGAGGCGCGGAGGGGCACGACGGAGAAGCACGAGCGCGCAGCGGGGGGGGCAGGCGGAAAAGCACGAGCACGTGGGGGGAGGCAGGCGGAGAAGCACGAACGCACGGGGTGGGGGGCCGGCGGAGAAGCACGAGGCGCGGAGGGGGGGCACGACGGTGAAGCACGAACGCGCGGGGGGGGGGCCGGCGGAGAAGCACAAGCGCAAGGCGGGGTGCTGACGGAGAAGCACGAGGCGCGGAGGGGGGGCACGACGGTGAAGCACGAACGCGCGGGGGGGGGCCGGCGGAGAAGCACAAGCGCAAGGCGGGGTGCTGACGGAGAAGCACGAGGCGCGGAGGGGGGGCACGACGGTGAGGCTCGAGCGCGCGGAGGGGGGGCCGGCGGAGAAGCACGAGCGCGAGGCGGGGTGCTGACGGAGAAGCACGAGCGCGAGGCGGGGTGCTGACGGAGAAGCACGAGGCGCGGAGGGGGGGCACGACGGTGAAGCTCGAGTGCGCAGGGGGGGGCCGGCGGAGAAGCTCGAGGCGCGGGGGGGGGGCAGGCGGAGAAGCACGAGGCGCGGAGGGGCACGACGGAGAAGCACGAGCGCGCAGCGGGGGGGGCAGGCGGAAAAGCACGAGCACGTGGGGGGAGGCAGGCGGAGAAGCACGAACGCACGGGGTGGGGGGCCGGCGGAGAAGCACGAGGCGCGGAGGGGGGGCACGACGGTGAAGCACGAACGCGCGGGGGGGGGGGCCGGCGGAGAAGCACAAGCGCAAGGCGGGGTGCTGACGGAGAAGCACGAGGCGCGGAGGGGGGGCACGACGGTGAAGCACGAACGCGCGGGGGGGGGCCGGCGGAGAAGCACAAGCGCAAGGCGGGGTGCTGACGGAGAAGCACGAGGCGCGGAGGGGGGGCACGACGGTGAAGCACGAACGCGCGGGGGGGGGCCGGCGGAGAAGCACAAGCGCAAGGCGGGGTGCTGACGGAGAAGCACGAGGCGCGGAGGGGGGGCACGACGGTGAAGCACGAACGCGCGGGGGGGGGCCGGCAGAGAAGCACAAGCGCAAGGCGGGGTGCTGACGGAGAAGCACGAGGCGCGGAGGGGAGCACGACGGTGAAGCTCGAGGCGCGGAGGGGGGGCAGGCGGAGGGGCACGACGAAGAAGCATGAGCGGGGAGGCAGGTGCAGGGGCACGGCGGAGAAGCACGAGCCCGCGTGGTGGGGGTCAGGCGGAGGGGCACGACGGAGAAGCACGAGCACGTGGGGGAGGCAGGCGGAGAAGCACGAGCGCAAGGCAGGGTGCTGACGGAGAAGCACGAGGCGCGGAGGGGCACGACGGAGAAGCACGAGCGCGCAGCGGGGGCAAGCGGAGAAGCACGAGCGCATGGGGAAGGCGGAGGTGCACGAGGTGCGGAGAGGCAGACAGAAATACGAGTGCACGGGGGTCGGGGGAGGGTGCCGACGGAGAAGCACGAGCGCGCGGGGGGGGGGGGGGCAGGAGGAGGGGCGGACGGAGAAGCTCGAGCACGAGGGGCGCCGACGGAGAAGTACGAGCGCATGGCGCAGGCGGAGGTGCACGAGGCGCGGAGGGCCAGGCGGAGAACAACGAGCGCAGGGGGCAGACGGAGGGGGGTGCAGGCGGAGAAGCACGAGCACGCGGGGGCGGGGTAGGCGGAGGGGCATGACAGAAGTAGACTCCTTGTTGAGCCGGGAGGCCGTTGTGGGGCTCGATCTTGGGACCCTAAAATCATGAACTGAGGTGCAGATGTTTAACTTATTGAGCCACCCAGGTGCCCAGAAACTTCTTGTGGGCTAACCGATTTATTGGCATAGAGTTCTTCACGGTGCTGTGTAGTTTTTATTTCTGCACAGTTGGTAGTATTGTCCTTTCGTTTCTGAAATAAAATCAGTAATTTCATGGGGCGCTTGGGTGGATCAGTCGGTTAAGTTGTCTGCCTTTCTTTGGCTCAGGTCATAATCCCAGTGCCCTGGAATCGAGCCCCACATCGGGCTCCCTGATCAGCGGGGAGCCTGCTTCTCTCTTTTCCTCTGCCTGCCACTTCCCCCTGCTTGTGCATGCGCGTGCTTTCAAACGCTCTTTTTCTGTCAACTTTTTAAAAGTTATTTTAAATCTATTTTAGTACATTTAAAAACTAAATTTTTTCATTTTTAGTCTAGCGGAAAGATTTGTTAATTTTATCTTTTCTAAACCAGCCTTCGTTTTTCTTGATTTTTTTTTTTTCCTATGGGTTTCTTGGTCTCTATTTCTGTTCTACCTTTTATTATTCTACTGGTAGCTTTGGGTTTACTTTTCCTAGTTCTTAGGTTGTAAAATTAGGGTTTTGATTTGAGATCTTAATTTTTTTAATGTAGGTATTCACAACTCTTAATTTGTCTTAGCACTGCTTTTGTTGTATTCCGTAAAGTTTGGTGTGCTGTGTTTCTATTTCCATTTTTCTCTTAAGTATTTTCTAATTTCTCTTGTTTTTTTCTTTGATGCATTGGTTAAGAGTGTGGTGCTTAATGTCCACAAATGTGTGGATTTTCCAGTTTTTAATGATTTCTAATTTGTGTTCGTGGAATAAAATATTTTGCATGGTATTTCTCTTTTAAAATCTTGTTTTTCATCCTGAGCTATAACGTTAAAAGTACAGTCTAGATGAATTTAACACCTGCATATTTTGGATTTTTTTTTTACACTTCTATTTTGCTCCTTTCACTTTCAAAATTAATTACGGCTTGTGTTTTTTAAGGTATATTTAGCAATTTTTATTTATATTTTTAAGGTATCAAACAATTTTTAAAACCTCATCATCCACTTAGGGAATAACTGAAAGGCAAGAGGTTTAAGTCTCCATTTTTTCATTGAACTTTGAAAGGAGATTGTTAACATACATGAGCTGGACCTTAAAATCTTTTCTGAAAGTTGCAGGGGCTCTGGGAAGTTGGTTTTGTTCCTGTCCTGTCCCCTCTTCCCTCCTGAATTAAAGAGGGACTGACTGGACTCCCATGTCAGCTGCCTTCTACGAGCAACTGTTATTTTGGCATTCAGTAAGGACCTCCAGTTATTCCGCCATGAGAAACTTCGCTGGCCACCATTCTCTTTCTAAAAGATGATCATTTTATGGGCTCCTCGTGGTGGTGTTTTTTTTTTTTTTTTTAATTTTCTGGCTTTATTGAGATGTAATTGACATACAGCACTCTGAGTTTAAGGTATACAGCATGGTGATTTGATTTATATAGCTCATGAAATGATTATCACAGTAAGTTTAGTTAACATACATCTATACATACAAAAAGGAAATTTTTTTTTCCTTTTAATGCGAATGCTTAGGGTCTACTGTCTTTCAAATATACTCTATAGCAGGGTTAGCTATAGTCATGTTGTATATTACATATCTGGTACTTAGGATCGCACATTTGCACCTTTTGACCACCTTCCACCTTGGAGGTCGTTTTGTTTTTAGATCCCACATGTATGTAAGTGAGGTCATCCAGTATTTGTCTTTCTCTGTCAACTTATTTCACTTAGCATAATGCTCTCAAGATCTGTCCACGTTGTCACAAATGGCAAGATTTCCCTCTTTTTAAGATTTCTCTCTTTTTATGGCAGATTAATATTGCATTGTATATATGTGCCACATTTTCATCCATCTATGTTAATGGATATTTTGGTTATTCCCATGTTTTGATTATTATAAATAATGCTGCTATGAACATGAGGGTGCAGATATCTCTTTGACATGGTGTTTTCATTTCCTTCAGATATATTCCCAGAGATGGAATTGCTGGATCGTAGTTTTTTTTTAATTTCATGAGGATCCTCCACACTGGTTTCCATAGCAGTTGCACCAATTTACAATCCCACCAATAGTGCAGGAGGATTCCCTTTTGCCCCAAATTTGGCCATCATTTGATAACAAATGAGCAAATGATAACAAAAAGAGATAACTCTTGGGGCGTCTGGGTGGCTCAGTCGTTAAGCGTCTGCCTTCAGCTCAGGTCATGATCCCCGGGGGCCTGGGATCGAGTCCCACGTCGGGATCTTTGCTTGGCGGGGAGTCTGCTTCTCCCTTTCCCTCTGCCTGCCTGCCCCTCCTCCTGCTTGTGCGCTCTCTCTCTTTCTCTGACGATAAAGAAATAAAATCTTTGTTTTTTAAAGATCTTATTTATTTGACAGGAAGAGACACAGTGAGAGAGGGAACACAAGCAGGGAGAGTGGGAGAGGGAGAAGCAGGCTCCCCGCCAAGCAGGGAGCCTGATGCGGGGCTCAGTCCCAGGACCCTGGGATCATGACCTGAACCAAAGGCAGACACTTAACGACTGAGCCACCCAGGCACCCCAGAAATAAAATCTTTTTAAAAAAAGTTTTTTAGTTTGATGTAGTCCCACTTGTTTATTTTTTATTTTGTTGCTTGTGGTTTAGTTGTCCTATCCAAAAAAAATGAGTATGAGGACCCATGTCAAGGAGGTTTTTTTCCTGCTTTCTTCTAGGCGTCTTAATTTATTTCAAGTTAATTTCTGTGAGTGGTGTGAGGTTGGATTTCTAGTTTCATGTTTTCACATGTGAATATCCAATTTTTGCAGCACCATTTATTAAAGAGACTGTACTTTCTCCATTGAGTATTCTTGACTCCCTTGTCAAATATTAGTTTCTCATATACATATGGGTTTATTTCTGCTTTATGGTGTTTGTGTTTAATAATATCACAGATGATTTCAAACAAATTAAACAATACTCAAGTGTTTACAGAATCACTAGGTGAACTTGCCCCAAGTATACAGGTGCTCCGTTAATTGGGGGGGGGGGGTTCTTGGAGGTCTTGCTCTTCCCAGAGAGGTTATGAAGTTCCTGAGCTTTACAGCATCCTTAAAAGCCGTGAACTTGGGAGGCAGGGGCCCTGCATCCCTTTTCCTTGGCTGGATTCTTCCATGCCTGGGAGAAATGACTGCTGCTTCCAGTCTGAGGAGCTTATGTACTAAAAGTCTCCGCATGCACCGTGTCCCTGGTGAGTAATTTACCTGTGAGAAATGACCTGTGCTATGTCTGTCTTTAAGCCACCCTACATCCTCCAGCAGTGCTGCTGAGATCATGTCCGTGCTGTTTTTCCACATCATGAGATACAAACAGGATGATCCGGAGAACGTAGACAATGACCGTTTCATTCTCTCCAAGGTAAGCCCACACAGGAGCCCAGGGCCTGCTCGGATGGTTGCTTTTTTATTTTATTTTTTTTAAGTTTTATTTATTTATTTGAGAGAGAGAATGAGATAGAGCATGAGGGGGGGGAGGGTCAGAGGGAGAAGCAGGCTCCCCGCTGAGCAGGGAGCCCAATGCGGGACTCGATCCAGGGACTCCGGGATCATGACCTGAGCCGAAGGCAGTGGCTTAACCAACTAAGCCACCCAGGTACCCCAGATGCTTGCTTTTTAAAATGATTTTAAAAGCCACTGTCTGGTAATCAGGCCTGAAATGGGTTCTGTTTGTCTTTTTGGTTATTATTTCTTTGCCTCATGTCTTAGTCTGTTTAGTCTGCTATAACAAAATAACCACAGATTGGGTGGCTTATAAACAATAGAAATTTATTTCTAACAGTTCTGCAGACTGAAAGTCCAAGGTCAGGGTCACATGGTCACATTCTGGTGAGAGTCTTCTTCCTGGTTGCAGATTTTTTATTATATCCTCACATAGGAGAAGGGAAAGTAGTCTTTCTAGGCCCTCTTTTATAAGGGTACTAATCCTATTTGTGAGGGTTCTGCTCTTGTGACCTAATCACCACCCAAAGCCCCCCCCACCTCTTGTATAAAATCTTTGTTTAAAGTGTTCTAGCAAGGACTACAGTGGTGGGAAGGATGACTTATGGCAACTTGCCACCCTTCCTTTCCTTTGTCGGTCCCCTGCCTTATCCCACCTAGCACTAAAGCCCCCCCTTGATAGGGTCGTGTCCCAATACTCTGCCACCTGGGTAGAGGTGGGCAGCAGTGGATCTGACTTGCTTGAGCTCAAGGAAAATTGAGCTTAATTCGGAGAGATAGTCTACCTGTCAATAACCTTTATTTTTCATATTTCTGTAGATCTAACCTGACACAATGGGGGTCTTTCTCATTATACTAAGTATAGTACCAGGTAGTGCATGACTTTGGGGAACAGGAAAGAGGAGTGATGTTAAAAGTAAGGTCAATCTAGAAGAATGTGCAGGGTTTTTTGTTGTTTTTTAAGATTTTATTTATATGACAGACACAGCAAGAGAGGAAACACAAGCAGGGGGAGTGGGAAAGGGAGAGGCAGGCTTCCCACTGAGCAGGGAGCCTGATATATGGGGCTCGATCCAGGACCCTGGGATCGTGACCTGAGCCGAAGGCAGACGCTTAACGACTGAGCCACCCAGGCGCCCCAAGAATGTGCAGTTCTTTTGATGCTATCTGAAAGTTTGCTGTGTCCTAAGCAAAACGTTTAAAATTCAACTGGTAGAGTACCATGTACAAACAAATCCCAGATCTGGGCAGTGGGAATTAGTTTAAAGAATAAAGACAGAGGGTGCCTAGGTGGCTCAATCAGTTGACTGTCTTGACTCTTGATCTCAGCTCAGGTCTTGATCTCATGGTCGTGAGTTCAAGGCCCATGTTGGGCTCCACACTGGGCATGGAGCCTATTTAAAAAAAAAAAAAAAAAGAATAAAGTCAGAATATGGGTGTGGCCGAAGTATCTGGGGTCATAATTTTGACCATGTCTTGGTGTCTGAAATGTAATCTCAAATGAGGTTTATCAAAAAAATAAACCAAAATTTATGACTGTGTGTGTAAAAAGAGCAAGATGAAGCAAAAATGGTCTATTAGCAGTGAATCTAGGTGAAGAATATATGGGACTTCATTGTACTATTCTCAAAAATTTTTTATAAGCTTGACCTTCCTTCACAATAAAAATTGAACAAATGTAGATGTAGAAACACAGTATGAGCATTCAAATCTCTGGTTTAAAAAATGGTAAGATGGCTAGAGTATCCCATAACTGCTGCTATCGTATTCATGGTCATTGGCCTGAGAGCGATAAAGAGGCTTTCTGGTGTGCAGTAGCAGGCTGGGCACTGTTAGCTGCCAGAACTTATATATTCATCAGATTAAGAAGCAGATAAAATTGGAAGGAAGGAGAAAACACATAGGAGCATAGTCCATCATGGCATTGGCTGTGAGAATGGAATAAGTGGACTTGCTACAGTGAAGGAGCCAAGGTTTTCACAACTGGTGCTTCTGGGGCGTGAACGTCCAACACAAACAACTGCATTAGGAGGCTCACCGTTAAGGCCTGGCAGTATTGATATTGCTGACTGTGAAGTACTGTGAAGGCTTGTGAGGAGGGTCTTGGGATCCCCCAATTCTCCCCACTAGGCCTTTGTTTTTGATTTATCAGCTCGTTTTCTCCAGTCAAGGAGGCCAGGGAAGAAACCCGAAGGCTTTTTTGTAAACTTGTTCTTTGTGCCAGAACAAAGGTGAGAACTATCATCTGAGGGAGAAGTCTTTTCTGAGTGGACATAGCACCTAGTATGCATTTTTTTTTTTTTTTAAAGATTTTATTTGACAGAGACAGCGAGAGAGAGGGAACACAAGCAGGGGGAGTGGGAGAGGGAGAAGCAGGCTTCCCACAGAGCAGGGAGCCCGATGTGGGGCTCGATCCCAGGACTCTGGGATCATGACCTGAGCCGAAGGCAGACGCTCAACGACTGAGCCACCCAGGCGCCCCCTAGTATGCATTTTTATTGTAGCTCTTGCCCCCCCCTAAATTGTGAGTGTATGCCCCTACACCCAGCATAAGGGTCCTTAGAGAAGAAAAGGGAACTCCTGTGGGAGTACTTCCACAGTGCCAGGCATCATGCTGGTGTCTGCCAATCTTCTCAATCAGTTCTACAGCCTCCTGCTGCCTCTGCCTGAGGGGGACTCTTCGTCATACCCATAAAATGAAGAAGCCTTGAAGAAGTGGGCTCATTTACACACACACACCCCGCCCGCTTTAAAGCCAGGGGGAAGCAGAGTTGGTCTGGATGCAGAGCCCAGGCTCAGTCCAAGGGCACACAAGGCAACTGGGGGCCAGACCTTATTATGGGAGTAAGGCTAGGAACCATGGGGTGGAAGAGCTTCAGTGGTATGGTTTTACCAGGGTAGAGATACAAAACAGAGGGAGTCTCGGGGGGCACAAAGCGTGTGAAGAAAAGCTCGAGAAGGTTAAGAGCCCTGGGAGGAGCAGAGGGGTAGGGTGGAGCAGGACAGGAGAGGGATGAGACTAACAAGTACTATTGGCCCATCTTTGGTAGCAACACCACCTAATTCTTTGCTTGAATGGAGCTGACATTGGTGGGAAGGGTCAGACAAGAAACCTAGATAACCAGCATGTCAGATGGGGGCTGGAGTGGACAGGCTGGTGCAAGAACTTGGGCTCTACGTGGCAGGAGATGGAGAGACCTTGGATCGTTCTCTCTGCATGGTGATGAGTGGACAGGTTTGTTTGGTTGGTTTTTTTTAAAGATTTTATTTATTTGAGACAGAGAATGAGAGAGACAGCACATGAGGGGGGGGAGGGTCAGAGGGAGAAGCAGACTCCCTGCCGAGCAGGGAGCCCGATGCAGGACTCGATCCCGGGACTCCAGGATCATGACCTGAGCCCAAGGCAGTCGCTTAACCGACTGAGCCACCCAGGCGCCTGAGTGGACAGGTTTTAACAGGCTCCCCCTGATGGTTGTGTTGAGAAGAGCTATGGGGGGGAAGTTTGGAGGTCGCTGCAGTGACAGAAGACGTTTGTGACGACTACAAGGTAGTGGCAGTGAAAGCATTGAATAAGCTCAGTGTGTCTTTGGAAGCTTGGGACCTTTGGCACTGCCTTATGGCACCCAGAGGGTATTTTTTTCTCCATGGGATAAAGATAGCTTGCGCATAGACACAGAGGAGGAGGGGAGAGGAAGAGTAGTGGTGTAGTGATTTATTTCTGGCACTTCTAGATGACCACTTCTGAAATCCCATTTGACCTGAGTTACAAACCAGGGAAATTGTAATCATCTTCAGTGTTTCTGGTTTCTGTTTAAGAACCCACATTCTCCAAAAAGATTGAACATCTGGTTTGTGCATGACTAGATAATAAAAGATCTTATGAAAATGAATGGCAAGGCTCATGCTTACATTTCCTCCTTTGCTCCTGGGCTCTGTTTAGGCTGCTGTGTGGAGAGAGACTGTCCTTTTTTTGTATGTTCCCACGGGTTCAATTGAACTTGGATTACTATGGCTCCCCTTGTCTTGGTGATGTTGATGAGACTTGGGGTGCATGTAAGTGTGGTAAAGAGATAGATACTCTAAAGGGTGGGAGAGGCCATTCAAAAGAGCAGCCTGTGCATCTAGGTTCATTTGGTCCCTTCTCTTACAGAGACTTTCATTTGTTGATGTGGCAACTGGATGGCTCGGGCAAGGACTGGGGGCCGCTTGCGGGATGGCATATACTGGCAAGTACTTTGACAAAGCAAGGTAAGACACACCGAGTAACTGCTTATTTGTTTCCACCCCATCCCTCGGGCACTTTGGCTTTATTTATGGTTTATTAGTTTGGGAAGATGGTAATTGTTTTGAAAGTTCAGACTACCAAGTGTTCAAGCAGTAAAGAAATCATGTTTTTGGAAACTGTTCTAGCTTCTCTGGTTGGGTTCTGCAGTGTAGAAACTGGTTTATTTCTATTATTTTCTAAGACAGCTTTTTATTTTGCATCTCCGTGAGCTTCATTATAGAGTGAGTAGCTGGTGCATTTGCATTAGGGACCCCTATATGTTAATAATCAAAGAGTTCATTTTCTACAGTGGCTTTTTCATTTCTCATTATTGCTCTATTAGTTCCTATCCTGTGGTTAATACATTTTTTTAAAATTTTGCAGCATTTTTGTGGGGTATGGGTTGTTTTATTGGTATTATTAACATTTGTGTGCTTTTGTTGCGGAGAGGTTTACCATTTACAACAGCACATATGCTCCTGAGGTAGAATGTTTTGATTGTTATGATTATTGTAAATAAATTTGTAAGATGAGAAATAGAAGATGGCAGTGCTTAAAACGAAGCTTACTGAGAAAACCTGTGTATTTAAAAGGTCATTTGGGTGTTTAAGGGGGCTACTTTCTCCCCATCCCCTCGTTTATGGATCCCAGAGAAATGGCAGAAGAACGCTAGAATGAGAAAACTAGCCAAAGGTGAAGTCCATCTTGTGAGGCCCAAGTTTTTAAAGCTGTGTTTCCTTAGCTGTCAAGTTTGGACAGAATTGACAATGGAAATAGTCTTAGGAACTTAATGATGTGAAGCAACCGTTTCAGTCTGTCCCTTTGTTTCTCTCCATGAAATATATTTGTTTGAGTGACCCAGAAGATCCCTAAGCACAGTCTTGACCTTTCTTGGCTTGCTGCAGCTACCGCGTGTTCTGCCTCATGGGAGATGGCGAGTCCTCTGAAGGCTCCGTCTGGGAGGCATTGGCTTTTGCTTCCCACTACAATCTGGACAATCTTGTGGCCATCTTCGACGTGAACCGCCTGGGCCACAGTGGTGCCTTGCCCGTTGAGCACTGCATAGATGTCTATCAGAAACGCTGTGAAGCCTTTGGGTAACTGTGTCCTATTTTATGTCATCTTCTTTCTGTCTAATCCCCCCTTCACGTTGTAATCTGGCATTCTCCTGGGTTGACAGGTGGAATACTTACGTGGTGGATGGCCGTGATGTGGAGGCCCTGTGCCAGGTGTTCTGGCAGGCAAGTCAAGTGAGGAACAAGCCCAGTGCTGTAGTTGCCAAGACCTTCAAGGGCCGGGGCATTCCAAGTAAGCAAATGTTTCCTTTCTGCTTAGGGTTATTAAAAACATCTGTCTGCATAACGATGTGGCAGAAGGAGGCTCAGGATGGCAAGGCAGACAAACTGGCTTTGTGCTCAGTGATTATGCCTGTAATATGTGCTGGAGGCTCTTGCTTGGCCCTCATAGATAGCAGGTCTGATTAGGATTGGAGGGGAAGCCCAGACCCCCAGCAAGTGAGCAATGGTTTTCTTTGTGCAGGAGGGAGTGGCTAGGAGGGTAGTCCATCAGTTAGAGAACTGGCGGAGAGTGATCTGCACAGGAGTGCAGAGTGAGAAAGAGTGCTACTATGTGCACGAACAGGTATGCAGGTAAGGGCATGCATACATGCACCCTTGCCTGCGCTGTCTGGGGGGACACGTAGGGAGCTAGTGAAGCAGCACCTCTGGGAAAGGTACCTGTGGAACTGGGGCTCAGGGAAGGAAGGGCGTTTTGAAAGTCTTCTTGCAGATTTCAAAGCTGACACCTGAAATTATTCATTTCAAGTATAAAGAGTTGCAAAGGGTGTGATTGCTGGTGTGTTTTAATATCAGTGCTTTAGAATAAAACTGTTCTGTGACTCCTCTCTAAAATAGTCTTTTTTTTTTTTTTAAGATTTTATTTGACACAGACCGCGAGAGAGGGAACACAAGCAGGGGGAGTGGGAGCGGGGGAGAAGCAGGCTTCCCATGGAGCGGGGAGCCCGATGTGGGGCTCGATCCCAGGACCCTGGGATCATGACCTGAGCCAAAGGCAGACGCTTAACGACTGAGCCACCCAGGTGCCCCCTTAAGATAACAGTCTTAACTGTGGTATCCCCAGTTCAGTAAATGACCACTTGACCAATTTGCTCCTGGGAGAATTCTGGGTATTATCTTTGCCTTCACCTCTCCCTTATGTGCCCCCTACATGCAAATCCAGTCTGTCATCAGTTCTAATGGATTCTGCTCCTACAGTAAGTATATCTCAGACCTGCTCACTGCTCTCCATCCATCTCCTGTGCTCAGACCCATGTCGTCTCTCCTTAATTATAGTCTCCCCAGTCCAGTCTCCACACAGGCACTGTGGTGATCTTTCTACATTTAAGATCTGATCAGTCACCTCCCCACTCCAAATTCCTCAGTGGTTTCCTGTCTTGCTTCTGACAAAACTCAAACTCTTTATACCCACAGGATTTTCCATGGTCCACCCTGCCTGTCTCTCCAGGCTCATCTCCCACACACTCCACTCCATTCACCAGTATATGGGCCAGTGGCCCTACTCAGGAGCCTCTGGGACTTTTTAGGCGGTCCTGTGGGGCTGCAGTACCAACTCAGGCTCCCTGTGCCAGGTTTTTACTCCTGTGAGTCCTTGGCTGACATCTTTTCCATCAGGGTGTCTTTGAGATGACCTAACAGATACTCAATTACATGCTTATGGAACGAATGTGTTTTATTTGGTCACAGGTGTTGAAGATGTAGAAAATTGGCATGGAAAACCAATGCCAAAGGAAAGAGCTGATGCAATTATAAAACTGATTGAGAGCCAGATACAGACTAACAAGAATCCTGAACCAAAACCCCCTATTGAAGACTCGCCTCTAATCAATATTGTGGATATAGAAATGAGCTCTCCACCTGCTTACAAAGTCGGTGAGCAGGTAGGCAAACTGTTTTCTGCTTTTTTTAAATACAGGACTCTTCATGTACTCTGATCTCCATGGATGAACCAGTTATTAGATTGCATGATATGTAACTAAAGGTTACAAGCAATAGAGGTGGTTTTAGTATTTCTTTACTATTTTTTTTTTTAATTTTTTTTTTTTTTTACTAATTTATTTTTGAGAGTGAGTGGGAGGGAAGGGGGCAGAGGGAGAAGCAGACTCCCCACTGAGCAGAGCAGGGAGCCCGATGCAGGGAATCTGACGCTGGACTCGATCCCAGGACCCCGGGATCATGACCTGAGCTGAAGGCAGACGCTTAACCGACTGAGCCACCCAGGCACCCCTCACCAAACTGAATTATCTTAGCGGTCAGCTGATACTTATTAACACCTAGTACTGCACAGCTTTTGCTTGCAAAATTCAGTTTGTGGTCTGGCAGTCTCATGTGCATGAAACTGCCACTGCTTTGTGTCTACTCTAAGGGTGGGGACCTTGGCTTCAAACTTATTCCCTAGATTACAGAAAGAAGTAGGTCAATTCATCAAAGACCAATTCTTCAAAAAGGAAACAAATTAGGCATGAAACCCTGAACATAAAGCCTTTTACCATGTTTATATTCTGCCTTTTGGTATATTATAGCAGACCCAAAATAGGCTGTGTCTTCAGGACCTAAGAAAACAAGGTGATGATGAGCCCAAGAGGAAGGAAATATTTTCTAATCCTTTTTTCTTTTATTTGGAGACATTTGTAGCATTGCTTATGTTTTCTTGTTCTGGTAATATGGGTTGAAATAAATGAATTTTGATGACTCACAAAATTAGAAAACAAACAAAGAAAGGTGTTAATCACGGAAAAGCACATATTAATGAAGGATACTTTGGCAACACTTTAACTGTTAACTAACACACTTGGAACTAATAGTAGAACTCACAGGAATTTGTCCTACAGAAGTATGCAGACGTATCTATAAGAATGAATGTTGATTGCAGCACTGAATGCTGAGGAAATTGGAAATGACCCATCTAGAGGCTAAGAACTTGCCCAAATTATTAAAAAAATTTTTGTTTTATTCATGAGAGGCAGAGAGAGAGGCAGAGGGAGAAGCAGGCTCCCCGCCTAGCAGGGAGCCTGATGCGGGACTTGATCCCAGGACCCCAGGATCATTGCCTGAGCCGAAGGCAGACGCTTAACCATCTGAGCCATCCAGGCGCCCTATTAAAATTTTTTTAAAAGATTTATTTATTTATTAGAGCATGAGCAGAGGGAGAAGCAGACTCCTCACTAAGCAGGGACCTCTCCCCCCATCATGACATGAGCCATAAGTGGACACACGACTGAGCCACCCAGGTGCCCTATTATTAAAATTTTTTTAAGTTGTAAAGCAGCATAGAGTATAATTCTCCTTTGTGTAGAAAATCTTAAAAGGGGGCATCATAGGGGCACCTGGGTGCTCAACAACTATTTGTTCATAGACCATTCCCAAAAAGATGCTACATAGACTCATCATTTCTGCCTACTTCTGGACAGGGGACTGGGTGGCTGGGGGACAAGAAATCAGGGAGAAGATGGCCTCTTTGCTCCATAGCCTTTCAGACCTTGAATTTTGTACTGTCTACATGAATTGTTTATTTAAAAAAAAAATAGGGGCACCTGGGTGGCTCAGTTGGTTAAGCATCTGACTCTTGGTTTCCGCTCAGGCCATGATCTCAGGATTGTGAGATCAAACCCCACATCAGGCTCTGAGGTGGGCATGGAGCCTGCTTGAGATTCTCTCTCTTGCCCTCTGCCTTTCCTGCCCCCCCCAAAAAAATACATTTTAAGTGTTTAGATAAACAAAGACAAGCAAATTTTGTTTTTTTAATAACGACTTTATTGAGAGAATGACTCCCTATATTATACAATCATCCATTTGAAGTGTACAATTTTAATGGTTTAAGCATATTAACCAAATCCTGCAACTATCACCACACTCGATCTTAGAGCATTTCCATCACCCCCAGAAGAAACCCTACCCCCGGGGTGTCTGGGTGGCTCAGTAGGTTAAGCATCTGCCTTGAGCTCAGGTCATGATCCCAGGGTCCTGGGATTGAGCCCCACTTTGGGCTCCCTGCTCAGTGGGGAACCTGCTACTCCCTCTCCCTCTGCCCCTCTCCCTCAACTCATGCTCTCTCAAATCTTTAAAAAAAAGAAAGAAACCCCACAACCATTAGCAGTCATTCTCCATTCCGTCCAGCCCCTAGTAACTACTCATCTACTTTGTTTCTGTAAAGTTGCCTATTTTGGACATTTCATATAAATGGGGTCATATACGTGAAATTTTTGCCTGGTTTCTTTGCCTTAGCACAGTCACTGAGGTCCATCCCTGTTACGGCATGTACAGCATTCCATTTTATGAATATGCCATACATTTTGTTTACCTATTCAATCCTTGATGGACATTTGGGTTGTTTCTACCTTTTGGCTATTGTGAATATTGCTGCTTTGAACATTTGTGTACAAGTTTCTGTTGAGCTATATTTTTCTCTTGGGTATATACCTGGGAGTAGGACTGCTGGGTCATGTGATAATTCTCTGTTGAACATTTTGAGGAAATGCCAAACCTTGATTTCTAATAGAAAAACTCAATATTGTGAAGATGTCAGTTCTCTCCTAAATTCATAAATTCAGTCCAATCTCAAATAATATCCTAATGTCATTTTTTATTACTGGTATCATGATTCTAAAGTTTTACGTTTTATTTTTTTGCAGTTAGCCTTATCAGTTTTATAGTTATAAAAAGTCACAAGCATTTGCATTTTGTGACATTTAAATTTTTTGATAAACTATATGAATGGGCCAGAAGAAGAAATTTATTTTTGAGAATCAATAGCCAGTGAGTCAAGTATGGATTTAAGATTGGCTAGCAACCCATTTTTAAGATCCTAAAGGAGATTATTGGTGAATCATGAATTTCTTTCTTAAGATAGAAGGCAATTTGTAATCCACAAAATTTCACCTTCCTTCTAAATCTGCTCTAAAAAACTCCACTGTTTGACTTTTCCAGATAGCTACTCGGAAAGCCTGTGGTTTGGCTCTGGCTAAGCTGGGCCATGCAAACGATAGAGTCATTGTGCTGGATGGTGACACCAAGAACTCCACCTTCTCAGACATATTCAAGAGAGAGCACCCTGAGCGGTTCATTGAATGTTTTATTGCTGAGCAAAACATGGTGCGTGTGCTGTGGGCGTCCCTCTTGGGCCTTCACACTGACTAACAGTTGCCTACTGGGCACAGGAGGCCAGCCCCAAATTACAGTTTTCTTTCCATTTATAAAAGCAAAGGAACCAGAGGAAAAAAGTCTCTGAGAAAACAAGTAAAGAGTAGCCAGGCAGTTTGTGGGGTGGCTTCTGGGACTGCGAGGAGGGGCATAGTAGACTGCCTAGAACCATCTCCAGGTACACTAAGGGCAGCAGGCCAAGAGTCACAGCCATGACCCCAGGGCTCCAGACCTGAAGTATCCCAAGCCTGCCAGCAGCTTTAGATGTTCTTTAGGTGTTAGGAAGATCTGTCAGCATGGAGACAGCATTCCCTCCTCCTATCAGTTGACTGGAGCCAAGTAGGGATCCCCCTTTAGATGGGTGTCCACATCCAGCTGGCTATATCCCTGCCTCCGCCAGCCTGCACATTCATTCATGGTGCTTCTCTGGCAACCGTTCAAGGGTGTTCTGATTCATCTTTGTGTTACAGGTGAGCGTGGCACTGGGATGCGCCACCCGTGGTCGGACCATTGCTTTTGCTAGCACCTTCGCTGCCTTCTTGACCCGAGCATTTGATCAAATCCGGATGGGAGCCATCTCTCAAATCAACATCAACCTTATTGGGTCCCACTGCGGGGTATCCGTTGGTATGAGTTCTCAGTGCTTCATATTGATAGCCTTCTTCCTTTACAGAGAAAGATTAGCATGTGAGCGATTGACCCACCAATGTACTTGGGGGTACCATAATGTTTGATTATTTATAACCTTTCTTTTTTTCATGCCATGTTGTGTTTTAAAAGTTCCAGACACTGGGTTACTTTTGAGAGGATTTCTTGGTGTTACTGTAAAGTGTCCACTCTTTCAGTCATTGAGAAACAATGATCTGTCTTGAGTGCCCATTATGTATCGAGCTGCATACTGGGTGTGAATCAGGCCACCCCAGCATCACAGACTTCCTTTCTGCTCTTAGTGTGGTGCCCTTTGTCTAAGTGGGGACAAGCAGCATGGGTCCGGGGAAGTGAGCACAGATTGCCGGGGCTCTCTGCCTAGGCTGAGCTTCCTGGTCATATGGAACCGGAAGCCTTGAAGAGTGAGATGCAGAGGAGTGAGGCTGAGGCAAATATAGCTCTAGGGCATTAACCTGGCAGGACAGGCTAGACGGAAACAATGGGAAACAGGGAAATCAGAAAAAGGATTGAGATACGGTGTGCAGTAGAAGTAGATAGAAACTAAGGGTGAGTCTGTAAGAGTCTGAAGAGAGAGGTCAACATTTCTGACCAGTGGAGGAGTCCAAAATTGCACAAAAAGTTAAAGGTCTCCAGTAATTTCTTGCTTGAGAGACGTCAGAGAGTTGTGTTCATGAATGACAAATGACAAGATGTGCCTTTGGTGGAGTAGGTCCTCTAGGTAGATGTGACAGCTTGTGTACACTGCTAGAATGCTGGAGGGGAGGGGGCCTGGGAAGTGGACTTTGGGAGTTCTCTCTGGGACTTCCTGGGAGAAGAATGGGCCAGATGGTAGGTGCAGAGTGGGAAGAGAGAAAGGCCGACAGCATTTCAGGACTGAGCCAGGCAGACAGCCTGGCCCAGAGTCCAGTGTTTGCCCGGGGTCAGGTGTAGTGTAAGTGTTAAAATCAGTCAGCTAAGTGATGAAGTGGCTCTAGGTCCAACCAGAGGAGCTTAGGGTCCTAAGGTTAGATAGTTTACCCAGGCAAGGCACTGTGCACAGTGACCATCCCTTTCCTAGCTGGAAGAGCTAGGCTGCTATGGTATACATTGGGCTTTCTCTTTGCTCAGCATTTCTCGCCAGAAGCTCTCTTCCCAAGCATACCCTCAGACCCCCTTTACTTAAAACAGCACCCCCAAGAGTACCCCAAAGGTATGCTCAACTACTTTGAAGGTCTCAAGAAATGAGTAAGACCACCAATTTGAAACCCCAGCCTCTTGAGGGAGAAGATAGAAGAGAGGAGAAGGAAGGACAGACTCTGAAGGGATCCTCCTAAGGAGAAGATGACAGGGGCACAGAGACTTGATGGGGCCAACTTGGCTACCAGAGCTCAGGGAAAAGAGCATCGAGTCACCATGGATAGCAGTGCCAATGACTGAATGCCAGACATTGGCAAGGGTCAGGGCCAGATGAGACCACTGGTATTTTGATCTGGAAGGTCAATGAGGATCCTAACCCACAGTGTCACTGTGATATCTCAAGGGAAATAAAGATGTGACAGACAGCTCATTATAATTACAAGGCATCATGTTGACGAAAGAATTGAACGGTTTTGTAGTGTTCTGCTACAGGTGTGGGTTCCCCCCCCCCATGGCAATAAGTTGTTTCTTATCCAGCAGAGGGCAGGTTCCCAGTTGACCCTTGATGATGTCTTTGTTGGGCTGTGGCTTTGCTTTCTCAGGTGAAGATGGTCCCTCCCAGATGGCCCTGGAAGATCTGGCCATGTTCCGATCCGTTCCCAACTGCACTATTTTCTATCCAAGTGATGCCATCTCAACAGAGCATGCTGTTTTCCTGGCAGCCAATACCAAGGTATTTTTAAGGGGACATTGGTTCAGACAGAAAATGCTTCTGGGCTCTGCTACTAGTTTGATACTGATGGTTGGGTTTTCTCAGTTTTTTTCTCAGTGTAAAGATAATAGGTATTCATTGTGGAAGATAATGTTGTAGGATTCCTTTAAAAAAAAAAACAGAACAATTGCCCAAAAAAGGTGATTACACACCTAAAACGTGAACACAATCATGTTGTACAAGTGCAAAAGGATGCCAAACAACATCTGATGGCTCATACGGGGCAGGGCTCAGCATGAGAGAAGAGTGTGCCCTGGAGGCTCCGAGAAGGGGGCTGTCAGCAATGCCACAGGAGTGGGCTCCAGCAGGCTTGAAGGCTGGTCTTAGATACACCCTATGCCGTCACCACCTCGTGAGATCCAGAAAGCTGAAGAGTGGCCAGTGTCTCCACTGCAAACAAACCTCAAAGTCCTCAGTCCTAGTCTGCCCTCTGAAGAAGGACAAGAGTATGAATTCTGCCTCACTTGTTCCTCTTCATGTTTCACCCAAGGGCAGCAGATGGACAGACTAATTCCTGTCCAGAACCCAACTGCAGGGGAGACTAGAGGACAGAGTCTGTACCTTTTCATCTGCTCCAGCTGATGGTCACCAGACTCCCCTCAACACCCATCTTTGCACTCACCCATGGTCCTGCATAGACAGCCCTGGGCATGGTTGGGATAGGTTATGCAAGTTCCTAAGTATTTTCGACACATTAGAGACCTATGATTCTTTGACCTTTTTTTTTTTTTTTTAAAACCACTTTAAGTGGGTTCACACTGTATGTATTTGTCTATACTTTTTTACTTACTATATCCCGGAAATTGCTTTATGTCTGTGCATATATAGAGTGATCTCCTATGGGCTGCAAGATCCCATTTCCTGAAAGTTTAAAAAAGGCAAACCTGTGGTGATAGAAATTAGAGAGGTTGCTTTTCAGGTGGGGAGAGTGGAGAGAGACCTGAGGAAACTTTCTGGCAGGTGCAAATGTTATTCATACTCAGGTGATAGTTACATGGTATGTACCTTTGTCAGAATTCGTGGAGTACTCCACTTAAGTAAATTTTATCTCAATAAAAGCACTGAATAGAATTGGTTTATAACGTGAAGAAATGAACAGAGTAAGTGTTTCTAAATTAATATATCAGTTTATAATGTGTAGTTTAAATATGTGTATAAATTACCAAATACTTTAGACACTTGAGTATTTATGCTCTATGTGTTTAAGTTGATAAAAATGTATTTACTTACATTTTCTCATTGGTAAAATAGCAAGTCTTTTTATATTCCAGCATGTAAGGTATTTCTAAGAACTAAGTATTACAAGTTATGGCAAAAATTAGTAACTTACTTAACATTGTGTTCTGGGCTTTGTATTAAACATGAGTCAGTGCTGTGGCCTGAATTTGTGTTCTGTGGAGACAGAACGAGTCTGTGTATTTAAGAAAGCTTTCCTACCATTGAATGTGACAGCATAGAAAGTTTGTCACTGAGGACATCTGCCCAGGTCCTACATAGGCTTTTGCCTGGCTCAGTAGTAATCTGATCAGGTGACACTGACCTGTTTGCCAGTGGTTGTAGGTGATTATTCTTTGTTCCAAAATGTGCACTTTGTTTTTAGTAAAAACTGTTTAGTCTTCCTCCCCCCTCCCTCTTTTAAAACAGGTTTATTAGGGGCGCCTGGGTGGCTCAGTCGTTCAGCGTCTGCCTGTCTGCCTCAGGCTCAGGTCATGATCCCAGGGTCCTGGGATCGAGCCCCACATCAGACTGCTCTGCGGGAAGCCTGCTTCTCCCTCTCCCACTCCCCCTGCTTGTGTTCCCTCTCTCGCGGTCTCTCTGTCAAAATAAATAAAATCTTGTTTGAAAAATTTTTTTAAAAGAACAGGTTTATTAGTTGGAAATTTAGTTTGATTTTTCTAAAATTGTGGCTCTGGTTTTATGCCCTAGGGGATGTGCTATATTCGGACCAGCAGACCGGAAACTGCAGTTATTTACACCCCACAAGAAAGCTTTGTGATCGGACAGGCCAAGGTAAGGCCTTAAAAGTTCTCCAGTGTCTTCTAGTATCCTTTCACGTGGAGAGAAGTGGTCTAAAGTTAGCACTAGGTATCCCCACAGTCGAGGTTTGATCCTTTCTTTGCTCTAGTTTTAAAAAAAATGAATTGTGAGCTTTGCCTGCTTTTTTTCCTCAGAAAGGAACATTCTACCACTGCCAGTCTGAGGTAGACTTTTCTTTTTTCCAAATGGAGTTTCTCTTTGTTGAACTTGTAAGGATAAAGTAACAACTTAAAGGTACTTGAGTTTTTTGGTGTAAATTACCACAGCCTCAAGCCAAACAAATAATAGAGCCCATTTCAAATTAATAATAAATCTGTTAGATTGGGGTTTTGCAGATCCAAGCCAAGAATAAAAGAGAACATGAATGCATTACCCATGGGCCTGATAAAGGCTAGCATCACTGGGTACTTCCGATCTTCTGTGTTCTCACAAGAGCCCTAGAAGCACAGATTGTTAGCAGCCCTGTGTTGTAGGTGAGAGAAGGTAAACAGCTTACTCAGGGTTCACAGTTAGTGAGCAGCAAGACCAAAACTCAGACCCAGGCATTGACCTGGCCTCTGTCAGGGCCATGTGTGCAGAAAACCAGCAGAGTCTGGAGAAAATAAGTGGCTCTGCTCCATCACCTGGAGAGCAGGGCTTACAGGTGTTTGGGCATGTTTCCTTCCTGCCTTTTTTAAGGCATATATATCATAAAGGAGATCATGCTGCATCAGATAGTTTTATATTTTGCTTTTATCTTTTAAGCTTTTTTAGAATATCATTAATACTCAAATGTGTGAAAGAGCAATAGCCAGTCATAAAGGAGCAACATGTGACCTCTGACTTGATGGCTAACAGCTAGGCTGCTGCAGAATTCGTTGTTTTTAGTGCTCAGAACGACTGAGCAGTGATTGGCTTTAGTGCCACAAAAAAGTGGGTTATCCAGAACATTCCATGACTTGCTCTACTAAGCTGGACAGCACTGAATGAGAAAGTGGCAGTACTCACCTTCAGTGTTAACTACAGGTTTTGTTGTTCCCTGCCCATACCCTCACATTGAAACTCAAGGATGTTTGCCTCTGAGGGTGGAGGGGGCAGCTCTCAGTGACATCATGTGATTTGCAGAGCTTTTTCATATCCTGTCTTTTTTTTTCCTCCCTAATATTTGCCCCATCCTGACAAAATGAAGTAAATTTCCTGATGGTAAAGGATGTGAGTTAAAATGTGTGTGATAATTTGCATGCCATGGATAATTCAATAGCTAGGTTTTGCAAAGAGGACATAGATAGGGTGTGGGAGAGAGTGTGTGTGTGTTTATATGTATGCATATGAAAAAGCTAGGACATTCTCAATAGAATGGGGTGGCTTAGAAGCCCTGAATAGTTGTACTGTCAGCAGTGGTTCTTAAGCTACAAGGAAACCTATACAAAGGGATGAAATGAAGAATAATTTCAGATGCCTTTGGTTGGGTGGCTTTGGAGAAAATAAAACTCTACCAAAAGCTAAGCCCCTGTCTTTGATTGCAGAATAGCAAGTGGTTAAGAGTGTGGGCTTTGACGTCAGACAGGCCTGCCTGCTAGCCTCAGTGTTAAGCTGGGAGAGTTCCTCCCACTCTGAGATTCACTTTGCCCAGCCACAGAATGAGCCCCCAATGCATGGGCCTTACAGGGCCCTTGGGCATGCAAGGTGCTGGGCACAGAGCATGTTGCAAATGCCCCAAAATGATCCCCGTTAACTTGTTCATTATCAGAGTCCAATCTGTGTGCATGCCCCAACAAGATGTCCAAGTAGTCCAGGGATGGTACCTTTCTAGACCTCTGTGAGTGAGTCTGGTCTGCAACATATGGTCCATACAACTTGCTTCTGGCCTTCTGCCTTTCAGATCCCAGTTTGAAATCCACCTTCTTTGCTAAAGGGTCATCTTTAAGAACTTAGTAATTAGGCACCATAAATCATGAAGCATGGTAGATGAATTTCTAAAAATGAACATTAAGTAGGGTTTATCAAAAAGGGTGTCCTTGTTAGTGTACTGATTCAGCTTTTTTTTTTTTTTATAGTGAATTAAGAAGTGAAATTGGTAGGATTGGGGAAGAGCAGCATAGCAGTGTTCTCTTTGAGATGCGTTCTGTGCATAGTAACTACAGCTTTTTTGTTTTATGGGCACAATACCAGGTCGTCCGCCACAGTGTCAATGACAAAGTCACAGTTATTGGAGCTGGAGTTACTCTGCATGAAGCCTTAGCAGCTGCCGAAAATCTTTCCAAGGAAGGTCAGTTGGTTGTTGCTGGACATTGAAGTTTAAGGTGGGGAGAGGTAGGACTTGGGCTGCCTCGTGTGCCCCAATTGGTCTTTATTCTAAGTCTGTTTCACATACAAAACTGGATATTGATCTTCTCCAGATATTTCCATCCGTGTCATCGACCTGTTCACCATTAAACCCCTGGATGTTACCACCATTATCTCTAATGCCAAAGCCACAGGTGGCCGTATTATCACAGTGGAGGATCACTACCCAGAAGGTATGTGCAAGGCTTGAAGATCATTTTGAAAGTCTGCTTTGGAGGGATGTGTTTTTGATTTCCATGATTGGAACCATGACATGCCCCTGGGTATCATCCAGCCAGACACTCCTCTAACAACTGTTATTACTGCTCTTTGCAAGTGTATTGTTGTGTAGGGGTCTCGTAATTGCACCTACACTTGTTCCTTAGGGTGAGGCCATGCCCATACTCATTTGTATGACCTCAGCACAGGGCAGTGCCTGGTGCCCAGGTGGCTCAGTGGCAGCACAAAGGAGTGTCTAACTCAGCATTGTGAGTAGGGAGGGGTCTTAAAAAGCTTCACAGTTGTGCTTGAGTTTTGAATGATTAATAATTTGCTCCCCTCCCAAAAGGGGAATAGTGCCTTTGTAAGCAGAGAACACAGCAAATGCAGAAAAACTGTGTGACTAGGGAGAGGGGGCTGGGAAGGTTAGGTGGGACATATGAGGGAGTGGGGAGTTTCATATGTTCGTGTGTCAGGGGCCCAAGAACACATCCGTGAGCCATAGTGATTTTCTAGGAGCACTCTCAGTGCTTTCACAGCTGAGGTTTATTATAGGGAAAGGACACACACCAGGACCCACGAGAACAGAAGACACAGGTCAGGAGTGGAGAACCCCACACCTTCAGTTCCTTCCCTCCCTTCCATGAGGGGCCTGCTGAGTGCTCTCCCTTCTCCAGTAGTGACAAATTGCATCACTGGAGACACAAGGAACCCACTCAAGACTCAGCACCTGGGTTTTATTGGGCACTGGTCACACACCCCCTCTGCCAGACACACACCAAACTTCCTGACTCCCAGAGGAAAACAGGTGCTCACAGGGCCTCGCACCAGCCCATTGTCCAGGTGTCAGCCGAGGGCCTGCCTAGTCGTTCTGAGAGCCTTAAGAATCTGAGCTTGTAGACCCCCTGCATCTGTGGAGCCCCAGTTGAGAGAGCTCCTGCTGTGGTGGGGCTGGGAGCAATTTGGAGACTCACAGGTTTTGTGGGGTTTTTTAAAAGACTTTATTTATTTGAGAGCGGGGAGGGGAGAGGGAAAAGCGGACTCCCCACTAAAGAGAGACCTCGGTCCCAGGACCCTAAGATCATGACCTGAGCCAAAAGGCAGACACTTCACCAACTGAGCCACCCAGGTAACCCTGGAGACCCACAGTTTTGAATGAGGACTCTTCTGGCTAGTCAGAGGATGACTGTCCCATGAATCAGTGCCTAGTGAAAAATATTTTTACCAAGGAACCAGCAAATTCAAAGGCCTCTATACTTCGGGGCTTTAAGGCTGACTAGCCACTACCAGAATAGAGCCTCCTGTCCCTTGTTTCCCCAGGTGGCATCGGGGAGGCTGTCTCTGCAGCTGTCTCCATGGAGCCTGACATCTTGGTCCATCAGCTGGCAGTGCCTGGAGTGCCTCAGAGTGGGAAGCCGAGTGAGCTGCTGGATATGTATGGAGTCAGTGCCAGACACATCATAGTGGCCGTGAAATGTATTTTAATGAACTAAAATACATTACTTGGCATTAGACTTGGAAGACTGGCTTCTCTACCTTACATTTATGCTTGCTGCCAGACTTATCATTTAAATCTATACAGTTATATTTTCTTAAAAATTTAAGCAAGTTAACTACTTTCCTGTTAAACCATAAGTACATATACAAGTGTAACTCTCATCTTTGACTCATTAATAAGATTACAAATAAGAGAATAGCTGACAAAACAACCACATAAAAGTTTTCTGATAAGACAACGGGTAACTGGGTTAGGGATCAACGTAGGATAAGTTTCTTAAATGTGTATTGTAAGTAAAGAAAGTGTAAATTGCACTGTCAACTGCATCGCTCACATGTTGTGGCCCTGTAGCACCCTGCCCCACACAGCTGTCCTCATCTGACAGTTTGCGTGCTGCCATCCTACCTGCAGCTTCCTGGGGACAGTGTGACTGTAGGTGCCCTGGAACCTCCTCTGGCGTTTGCCTTCATCTCCCCTGGACAGGGCGGAGGCTGTGGAGCAGCAGCGGAAGCTCTCCGGGTGTCCTGTGCTGTGACAAGAGGACACAAACTAGTTCTAGTCTCGACACTGCACTCCTTTGTGAGTGCGCTCAAATGTCTCATTTGCCCAGGGACCAAACTGTTAGCTCAATCATATTCATCTGCTAAAGGTACTAGTTAATGTTAATAAAGCATTTAAAAAACCCAGCTGCTTTACTCTCTTTGTGCTTTGTATGTGTGATCTGGTCTCCTTAATAAAATTCTAATTAAGGAAGGAGTTTCTATCTAAACCAGGAAAGAGAGTTCCGTTCCCCTACAATAGAAGCCCGCGGAAAAGGTATTAGGCGGGAGGTGTACCACTAGACGATAGTGTATGGCTTGAGCTGACAAGAGGAATGTCTTGATACGTCATGGTCCTAATTTTTACTGCCCTTATTCACTGGTCAGCAGGGGTCTTTGTTCAAGAATAGTAGAGACCCAGACCCAGAACTACCCTGGCACTTGGGAGTCCTCGTAGGGGCCTGTTCACTCTGCTCCTGTGCTTTTAAATCACTGAACTGGTTTCCTGGCCTGTAAAATTAGCATGATGATTGCTGTGCTTGTTTCACAAGATTTCAAAAACATTTATTTTTGTGTAAGACAATAGAAGATAAAACATCAATATACAAAAATACTAAAAATATCAAATGGATTTTAAAAAGTAACAGTTGATACAGGGTCACTGTAGAAAATCTAGAAAATACAAATTTTGACCTCACTTAACCAACCATCTCACACTCCATATAAGTCAGCCTTTTAAACTGCACAATTCAGTGGTTTTTAATATACTCACCCGAGTTGTGCAACTATCACCATGATCCGTTTTAGGACTCCCAAAAAGAAACCCTGAATTCCTTAGTAGTCACTACCATTCCCCTTCCCAGCCCCTGGCAACCACTCCTGTATTTTCTGTCTCTGGATTTGCCTCTTCTGGACATTCCATATGAGTAGAATTGTATAGGGTATGGCCTTTTGGGCTTTGGCTTTTTTCACTTCATGTAATGCATTTGAGGTTCATCCACATGGTAGCATGTGCCAGGACTCCATTCCTTTTTATGGCCACATAATCCTTCCTATGTATATACCACATTTTATTCATCAGTTGGACGTTTAGGTGCTTCTCACTTTTTCTGTTGTGAATAATGCTACAAACATTCTATAAGTTCGTGGATGTGAATTTTCAGTTCTCTTGGGTGTATATAAATCTAGGAGTGGAGTTGCAGACCTGTAATTTCTGTTTACAACTTTTCGTGTGTGTGTGTGTGTGAGAAAGGGAAAAAAAGTTTGAGGAGTGGGAGACTGATCATGAAGGTGCCCTGACGTGTAAAGCACTGGATACTCTTAAGGCTAGCCATTAGGAATACAGCCAGAATGTATGGTCATGCATGATGAGCACCACATCTGCTCGGATTCAGGTGTAAAATGCCCCATCTGGTGAGATCGACAACAAAAATAGAACAATCAATACAATCCATGATGAAAGGGCTGTTCCAAAAGCCTAAATTCAGGCCCCCACAGGTGCTAGGCCAAAACAGTAGGACCCATTTGGTAACACAGGCTGAGAGGAGCCATGATGAGAAAGAGAAGGAAATGGACTTGTAGCCAGCGTCGCTCAGCTATAGCTCCTGAGTACAGAGTAGCCAAAGCGGAGGAGGAAGCACACCATCAAATCTTGTAGGTGCTAAAATAGGTCTGAATGTTGGAGGGGGTCCACCCTTTTTGCCTCAGTTTTTTCACCTATAAAAGGGGATGACGGTGCTGATGATGGTGATAATATCTATCTCATAGGGTTGTGGCCAGGATTTTAGAAGTGCCACCGGAATGTCCCCACTGACGGCCTCTTCGTTCCGGGCGTATTCCTACTCCCCAGGCCCAGCCTCGGCCCGCCCCTCCCCCCCTCAATGCTCAAGCCCCTTCCGGGCCTCATCCCGGGCTTCGCAGTGACTAGGCCCCGCCTTTCCCGTCCCTGGCCAGCCCTCTCCTCAGCAGCCCTGGCTGCTCGCACCCACCTCCAAACCGCCTATGCCCTACTGGGACTCCCTCTACCCACCATTTGACACCGCTCACTCCAGCCGTGCCCGCCCGCCCGGCCGGCCGGCCCTGCGCCCCCCTCAATACCGGGCCAATTGAGAGCTGGCGGCAGTTGGGTCACGTTGTTGGGTTTTGTCCCGTCACTCATTGGGCTCCAGCCAATCAGCGTTGCTTGCGCCAGGCGGGTGCAGGAGCGGGTCAACGCCCTGAACAACGAGCATCCCCGCGGGTGCTTAGCTGGAACCCCCAGGGTGTGAGGCACTGCAAAGCCCAGGTCCCCAAGGGACAAGTCGGAGAAGGGGCTCTGCCCTTAACCTTGGGCCAACCAGCGATGGACAGAGGTATGGCCAGAGAGAAAGGGACACTGGTGGTGGTGGGGGTGATGGCCTTGGAGGGGCAGGGGTGCGGGGATGCTGGAGGGTGGAGATGGGTGGAAGTGCAAGTAGGGTGGTGGCAGAGGTGTGCAGCACAGGCCCTCCTGCACTACCAACGTGAAAGGAAAATGAGACACGACACAGTGTTCCTCTTCAACTCAGACCTCTGGAGCAAATGGGGTCTGGGAGCTGACTTCTCTAGTCAGAGCACCCCACCCACAGGCACACCAGCCCAGCTGTGGCCTTGCTTGGCACAAAAAGCTAAGACAGGTACCTTCTACCTCCTTACTGAGCTGCCATCCAGCCATTCTTGGGATCAGAAAAGCAGTGGCCTGGAATTTAGGAATCCTAAAAAGGTCCCACAATTCATTCCCTATTCGGTGTGGAGGACAAATAGCAGAGTTACCCAACACTCAAGGTAGGAGCCCAGGAGTGCACCAGGGGAAGAAGGGGCAGAGATGCAATATGCCCTCACACTTAATACATTCCTGTCCTGGAGCATGCTGAGGCTCAGGGAAAGTGGTGGCACCCCCATTCTCAGCTTCAACTGAGGCCAACCAGATGTCCCAATGCCAGGCTTCAGGGTCCCACTCCTCCAACCACCGCCCTACCTTTCACATGAGAAACACAGGCTGGGAATTCAGCTGACTTTGGGATTCTGTAACCCGCACAGCTAAACGCTGTGTTTGATTTTCAACCCTGTCAACCCTTGCAGGTAGAGGAAGCGAGCGAATTTTTAGGGCCGTCCTGGAAGTTCTCTGGTTATCATACGGTGACTTGAGCTGAGAGGTAAGGAACCTGAACTTGTCCTTTTTTCTCTGTGCACTCTCAGGTGCACTCGGGAATCGTCCCACACCACAGTCTTTACAGCCATCCCTAGCGCCCATGACAGTCCAGGGCAGCGGCCGCTCCGGCTCCCCGGGGTGCTCACTGAGGATGGGCCCTTCGTCCCGGTTAACCGCAGGTGAGGGCCTGACAAATTGCGAGGTCCCTGCCGGCCACGGGCGCCTCACGCCCCACTGCACGTTGGCGAGGACTCGAGCCCCACACTCCAGCCCAAGGGCATGACCAGACCCGTCCCCACACTCCGTCTCTGGGGGTCCATCTTCTGGGACCACTCCCAGTTCTGATCCTGTATCGGTCGGGCATGAGTCAGGATACAAGAAACAGACAAAGTTTCTCAACAGAGGGGATTGAATATGAGCAGTCGGTCACTCGGATCGGACGACTGGAGTCACGGAGATAATACGGGAGGAACCTGCCGCCCCTAGAGCAAGGGGAACAGGTTGGTGTCACCAGGAGCCTAGAAGCCAGGATGAGGGGGCCTTGAAGAGCCAGAGCCTGGACCTCTGAGGAGGGGCTGCTGCAATTTCTCAGGGAAGGAGGAAACCACATTATCCACCGGGAGGGGAAACAGGGCAGGAGGTAATTTCGGAGACACCATCTTCCAGGTCACTAATCTTTTCTTCAGCGGCACCTATCTGTGATTTCATCCATCTGTTGGGATTTTTTATTTCAATGACGGTGTTTCCTTACTTCTAAAGTTCTTTTTCAAACCTGCCTGGACGCTTTTCTTGTTTTTATTTTATTATTTATTATTATTATTATTAATTATTATTATTATTATTATTATATAAAGGTTGTATTGATTTATTTGAGAGCTAGAGAGAGCGAGAGAGAGAAAGCACGAGAGAGGGAAGGGTCAGGGGGAGAAGCAGACACCTCGCTGAGCCGGGAGCCCATGCGGGACTCCATCCTGGTCTGGGTCTCGAATGCTTCTCCTGTGTCTTTCTGTTGTTGTATCTCAGAGGCTATGGAAGATCTGGGGAGTCGGAGTAGCTTTCTGTCACAGCAATGCAAACGATACGTAAATATCCGTGAGCGCCGCTCTCTGATCTCATGAGAATTCAAAGGTAATGCCAGTCCCTGTTTCGGAGTCCCCCCGCGCCCGCACCTCCCCACCCCCGCGATGAAGCCCAAGAGCAGAAGGTGGTTCTCTTTCTCACCCTCCTCCCTTTTTTGTGTGCTGACCCAAGGCCCGCCAGGGGGAGATTCACCTGGGCTCACCTCTCATGCCTTCAGGACATACTGATGTGCCACACGTGCCCCAGGAATCTCCAAATGAGGGAGCGAGCCAGACTGTAGAGCATAGCCCACAAAAGGGGGTCGGGCTCGAAGCCCAACGTCCTTGATCCACACCCTGCCTCAGCCACCCGCTAGCAAGTGATTCCGAAGAAGCCGCTCAACCCATCTGTGGTGTTTTCCTCATTTCCTCCCCTGGACAATGGGGCTGACACCGCTAACAGCCTCCTAGGGCTTCCCGGAGGATGGGATGGGGGGAGTCTAGGCCCACGGCAAACACTCACGGCCATTACCGAAATTACGTTCTCTGGCCTCTGAGAGTCACACCCTGGGGAATGTCGGGAGGGCCAGTCCTGTCTTTGACAGACCTGCGGATTGTCCAGGAGCGTGGGCGGTGTCTTCAATTGGAGGTCACTGACCCATCTTCAGCTGGGCCCCCCGGGGAGTCCTGGGTGAGCGAAGCCTGGGCTGAGGTATCCTCTTCCAGGGAGGGTGGGTTTGCTCTGCCAGGAGCCCAGCAGGACGACCACGATGGGGGTGGTGGGGGTGTGGAGGGGGGCAGTTCCTCTCTCAGCCGGGGGTTCACTGAAGCCCCTCAGCTTGCAGCCAGCCGGGGGAAGGCAGCCCCTGTTCCGTGGATACGAGGACTGGCGTGGGAGGGTTTCTTCCCCCGCTCACTCAGACCCACTTCTTTTGATATCCCTGTCCTTCCTTGGGCCCGCCGAGGTCGCCCTTCACGAACACTGGTTTTATTTATTTACTTATTTATTTTAAAGGTTTTATTTTATTTATTTGACGGAGAGATAGAGCCAGAGAGCACAAGCGGGGGGTGGGGTGGGGGGACGGCTGAGGGAGAGGGAGAAGCAGAGTCCCCACCGAGCAGGGAGCCCCACGGGAGCCTCGATCCCCGGCCTCCGGGATCATGACCTGAGCCAAAGGCGGGCACCCAACCGACTGAGCCACCCAGGCGCCCCAAGAACACTGATTTTAGGCGGGATCTCCGTTCTGCTCTCTCACCTTCCGAAAGCCCTTACTCCTAGCACCGCGGAAACCCAACCCTGCAGCCCCTGCACACAGCCCCAGCCGCATCCCTGCTCCCTCCTCTGTTTTCATTTGCTCTGCTTCCTCAGGGGCGTCTCTTGCTTACCTGCGGGCCACCTATGCATTTAAACAGCGTAAGGAACCTTTTCTCATTACATATTTCCTTGCCTTTCTCTGAGACTGGACTGGCATCCCTGGACGGCAGCAGCTGGGTGTCAGAGCGGCACCGCCCCCAGCCCCCACCCCCGCCCGGACCTAGCCAGGCAGCACCGGATCCTGTGGCCAACTGTCCAGGGCCCCAGGGATTGGACCAGCGGGTCAACCTGCCGGCCTGGGTCACGGAGGAGTTGGCAACAGGGACTCGTAAATGCCGTCCCGAGTCTCCTCACGGTCCTCACACGTGGGAGGAGGCCTTTGTGCCCAAGATACGCAACCCAGAAATCATCAGTTGAGAATTTAATACATTTGGTTACCTAAAAAGGTCTAACTTCTGGGCGCCTGGCCGGCTCAGCCGGTAGAGCATGCGGCTCTTGGATCTCGGGGTTGTGAGTTCGAGCCCCGTGTTGGGTGTAGAGATCACTTAAAAATAAAATCCCCCAAAAAAGTGCGCAACTTCTAGACAGCCCAAACCAGCAAGCCTAGTCTTTCAAGGCAAAAGACACCCCGAGGGAAGATCTTTGCAACATACGTAACAAAGAACTAACAGCCCTAGTGTAGGACAAGCGTGCCTCTTTCGGGGAGGCAATTCCTTGGTGTCTCTCAACATCTTAAAGGCCCGTAGGTTTTGAACCTGGCAATTCCACTTAGAGGTCGTTATCCTAGAGGGAGATCGACACACGTCCACAGTGGGAAGTTGCAGCACCAAGGTGAATTGCGGAGAGAGAGCGAGAAAAGGTAAAAGTACCATCAGCTGGGGACTCGTTGTGTAAAGGACGGTACACGTATGCTATCAAATACCACGCGGCCAGGGAAGAAATGAGCTAGGCATTTGTTTACTGACGTGGGAGGTTTTTCAAAGAGCCGATTGCTAAGGGAGAGAAAGTCACAATGAAACGTGGAAAAATAAATAAATACAATAAAATAAATGTGTAGGGTGTAAAACTGTGAATAACTATGTCGGTGATTCCATTAGAAGACTATAGTTAGAAGAGAGAAACAACTGTTAACAATGTGTCTTAAAATAATGTTGCTTTGTAAAAAATTTCAATTATGTGCTGTAAAAATATGCAGGGTGGTAATGGAAAATGGTACAGCCGCGGTGGGAGGCAATTTGGCAGTTCCTTTTAGAGCAAAGCATCCGCCCCCCCCCCCCCGCCCCCCCAGCTGGCTCAGTCGGAAGAGCACGGGACTCTTGATCTCGGGATCGAGAGTTTGAGCCTCACGTTGGGTGTAGGGATTCCTTAAAAAAGATAAAAATCTTTGGGGGCGCCTGGGTGGCTCCGTCGTTAAGCGTCTGCCTCCGGCTCAGGTCATGATCCCAGGGTCCTGGGATCGAGCCCAGCGTCGGGCTCCCTGCTCCGCGGGAAGCCTGCTTCTCCCCCCTCTCCCACTCCCCCTGCTTGTGTTCCCTCTCGCTGTGTCTCTCTCTGTCAAATAAGCAAATAAAATCTCAAAAAAAAAAAAAAAAAAAAAGATAGGGGTTGGGCGCCTGGGTGGCTCAGCCGTTAAGCGTCTGCCTTCGGCTCAGGTCATGATCCCAGGGTCCTGGGATCGAGTCCCGCATCGGGCTCCCTGCTCCGCGGGAAGCCCGCTTCTCCCTCTCCCACTCCCCCTGCTTGTGTTCCCTCTCTCGCTCTGTCTCTCTCTGTCAAATAAGCAAATAAAATCTCAAAAAAAAAAAAAAAAAGATAAAATCATGAAAGCTAAGCACCCATCTGCACAGGACCCAGCGATCGTACCCTTGGGCA